TATATATATATACAATCACTCCATTATTGTTCCTCAAAGCTTATAAACTGATTCGAGAGGAAAAACAATGTCGGGCGTTTGGGTGTTCGACAACGGGGTAATTCGGCTCGTGGAGAGGGCGGGGGCGGCGGAGACGGGAGCAGGAGGGCGGAGAAAAGTTCTGATCTACACACCGACGAACGAGGCGATGACATCATACCCAGTACTTAAAAACAAGCTTGCATCGTTGGGCTGGGAAGTATACTACGAAGATTCCGAGGTTATGCAATTCCATAAGCCTTCATCTGTGGATCTCATTTCTGTTCCCACAGACTTCAATAAGCTTAAGGCTAGACACTTATACGACATCGTTGTGAAGAATCGTAATGTTTTTCAAGTTAAGGACATGCAATCCCAGTAATTGTTGCCACGACGTCGTTTCATACCTCTTTAGTGGCTCTCTATTTCATCTCTTTTTATGTAGTTTTTGTGTGTGTGTTTGTTTGAAGCATATGTAAATTTGTTCTTGAAATCGAAAAATCATAAATTTAACGTACGATATATTGTCGTATCAACGATTTGATGACTACCCATTAGACGTTGATTTGAGACGGCTCGATTCGTTAAGATATTATATCTTGTGAGATCTCACACTCGTTGGAAAGAGTAACGAAACCTTTCTTACAAATGTGTGAAAACTTCTTTTTAGTAGACGAGTTTTAAAACCGTGAGGCTGGTGGCTATACGTAACGAATTAAAACGGATAATTTTTATTATTTTCTATAACCGTCGAATAATTTCTAAATTTAAAAGAAATTAAAACATTTTAATGCATGATAATATGAAAATGGCTGCCATGCAATGCAGGATCAGAGAAGGCCAAAGAAAAATATTAAAAAAATAAATAAATAAATAAAAAGGAGTTAACCGTGGTAAGGGTAATTTGGTAATTGAGGAATGTGGGGTTAAGTGAACTGACAGGACACGTCCATGCATCACAGGCTGGTGACGATAAGAGGGGGAGTCTGATGGGTCAACGGATAGCCCATATCCGGGGGAAGAATATCTATTTATTTATTTTGTTTGCTCTAAGAAAATAATAATAATAATAATAAAAATAGATATTGAGAGAGAAATATTTGAGATTTACGTGCATGAGAGCATGGCTCAAAACCTATTCCCATTTGGATAAGGAAATGGAAATGGGCACCAATGCTCGGTCCCATTGAGTACTCGATAATATCAACTCAAAAGTTCTTTGACGTTTTTTTATCGATCAGTGGAATGTCAGACCCTTTCTCGGTTTTAAAAAAAAAGTCTAAAGAGGATAATATTTACTAGTGGTGGGCTCGTTACATGAACACGACTCTCCACAATGGTATGATATTGTTCACTTTGAGCACAAGCTTTCAAGCCAATAGAGACAGTATTCCTCGATTATAAACCTATAGCCATTCCCTAAATTAGCCGATGTGGGACTTTCATCATCCAACGGGGCTTAGGTTGTTCATACCTTCTATCTGTTACGTGCATTTTTTTGTTTGTTTGGATCTTCGAACCGTCGAGTGAAATCCAATCCATTTTTTAAAGGGGGTTTTGAAAAAACGGCCTACCCGTTAATGGGTCGGAGATGTTTCGTATGTAGATATACAAGAAACACAAAATTAGGGAATGAGTGATTTGTTCAACCCGTAACTCTTGTTACTAAAGGCCACCCCACCCAAGCCCAGCGCGATAGCTTAGAAAATGGACCCAACCCAACCCAACCCAAGAATTTAGAGCCCACTCTCATGCCGTCCATTCATACAACCACCATGCTATATCGCTCGCCATGACATTGTATCGTAGTGTCACGAACATGTGTCGTAGTGATACGATGCTACCATGGCTTATAAGAACACGTCCTTCAATCGATTGGTTAAAAGATTGATGATACTAAGTGATAAGAATAAGTAGAAATTAGAAATGTTTATAGGGACGAGGACAGAGACGAGAAGGGAGAAGACTTCTCCGTTTCCACCCTCTCTCTCATTTTTATTCCTTCTAATAAAAATTAATCTTTCATTTTTCTATAAAAAAAATTAATTAAATTAAATAAATTCCATCCCGAGTTTTTATATTATATATGTATTTTTTTTTGTGGATAAATTTTCTGTTAAAATAAAGTCAAACAGACATTATATTTACTATTCTAACTCAGTTAAGAGATTATATTTACTAATCCTAATTCAGTCTCATTTTTAATAATAATAATAAAAAAATATATATTTTAATATTTAAATTTGAATTTTTAAAATTTTGCGAGTAGAATAGTATATTATATTTTTGCTCGTGAAATATTATAATATTTTATATTTTTTAATAGAAATTATACAGAAAAATAAAAATGATTCATTAATTAAAAAATATATATATATATATATATATATATATATAATGGAATTCAATTCTATCTTTAATCTAAATTAATGAAATCCATAAACTAAAATTAATAATAGTAATAAATAAATAAATAAATAAATAAATAAAAGGGGTTATTGTTGATTAAAAATAACTCATATTGTCCGTACAGGTGACACGAGAAAGTGGTGAAGTGTGGCATTGGGTTTTGGTTCCAAATTCAAATCTTGGACAAACTCGTCCCCATCTCCTTTTAATTTTCCTCTCTTCTCTTTCCTCCATTTTTTGAATTTCGATTTCATCCCATCCCCTTCTCAAAACCCTAATTTTCAGTTCAACAGATTCGGTTCCATTCGATCCCTGCTTCTATGGCGGACGCCGACTCTTCCTCTCCCTCCGCCGCTGTCCCAGCTCCTCTATCGGCTGTCAGTTCCCTTCATTTTCTTCGTTTTCACTTTCTTTTTGTTTCTGATCTGTTCTTTTACACATTTACTTACTCTGTTCTTCATCTTTATATCTGTTCCTCTTTGTTCACAGAAAAATGAGAATCTAACTCCCATTGGATCGAAAATTTCGGTATTATTTTCTTGTCCCGGCTTTTGAATTCTCCAGCTTATTAACTCGATTGTAGGATAGTTGAGAACTAAATTGTTCGTTGTTTGAAGTTCTTAAAATTTTGGGTCTGGTGGTGATTTAACCAAGAGTCCATGTGTTACTGAGATTGCTGCAATTTAGGTCTGATCTTCTGAGATTTGACATGTTTGATCTCAGGAATTGAACGAATCAAGAGCGGAGTTGCTTAATAGAATTCAATCTCTTAAGCAGGTGAAGTCTAGATTTACAATGCCCTAACTGTGAGGCTGATTATGTTGTATGTTCTTGCTCATTTAGTTGTTTTTGTCCTTTGATTTTCTTAACTTTCCCTGTGTTTTGAGCATTTCAGGATCTTCAGAATTGGAGGTCAAAGCTAGACACGCAAGTTAATACCTACCGGAGTGTAAGTTAATAGTAGTGAATTTTGTATTGCTTGTCCAGCCAGCTTGTCCTGTTTTAAGATATGTGTGTTTGTGTGAGATCCCACATTGGTTGGAGAGGGGAACGAAACATTCCTTATAAGAGTGTGGAAACCTCTCTTGAATGATGCGTTTTAAAATTGTGAGGCTGACGACGATACGTAATGGGTCAAAGCGGACAATATTTGCTAGCGGTGGACTTGGGTTGCTAGAAATGGTATCAGAGCTAGACACCGAGCGGTTTGCTAGCGAGGACGCTAGGCCCCAAGGAGGTGGATTTTGAGATCCTACATTAGTTGGAGGGGGTACAAAGCATTCCTTATAAGAGTGTAGAAACCTCTTTCTAACAGATGCATTTTAGAACTGTGAGGTTGACAGCGATACGTAACGAGTCAAAGCGGACAATATCTGCTAGTAGTGAACTTGGGCGGTTATAGTTTGATTGTTCTAACATGATCCATAAACCAGTTGGTCATCCAAGTGGCTTACTGTAATCAAATCTTGTGGCTCATACAGACAGCCGGCTATTGTATGCTAGACATGATGTTGGTTAAACTGATTCTTGGAAGTTCAAAGAGATCTTAAGTAGTCTGCTAATGATATATATCTTCAATGCCTCATACAGGAACTCTCTGAACTCAAGAAATCACTTAATGTTGAGGTCGAGCACCTTCGAACGGTAAGTAATGCTTCACAGATCGAATACATTTTTAAACTTTTTGATACCATTTGGAAGGGTAATAAATTTGTAACATCAAAGTAGGAATTCCAAGAACTAAGGACTACCCTTCAGCAGCAACAAGAAGACGTGACTACCAGCCTGAGGAACTTGGGTGTAAGTTCTATATCTAACCACTTTCATACTCAAATATGCTGATAAGTTCTACCCACCCCATACCACCATATATGTTAGCCACTATTGAAGAAAACTACGTAACTTAGCAGCTTCAGGATGTTTCCGTGGACAATAACGAGACTCGACATCAACATCCAGCAGAAATCAGCGAGAAAGAAGATGCAGGCGAGGCAACGAAGGAAGGTCGTGGCTCGACGGAGGAAAAGGGGAATGAAGCTGGAAATTAAGAGGCACTTTGTAGCATGTAGGTTGTAAGTTTTTCATTGCATGATAAGATAACATTAGCAGCAGCTCTCTCGGCTATGGATTTCCACAATGTTTACTGTTTAAATTTCAATGCTTGTAATGGGTTTCTTTTCAATATTTCCCATTGAGGGTTCTATGAGATCTCCCTTTAGCTCACTCTCTACCTCTATCCTTCTCTCTAAACAACTTAATGATGGTCGAGTTTTGAACTTAATTTCTATTTAGTGCTTTCGAACGCTTAAATTTTTCATCATTGAGATTTGAATTTAGTTGTATTTGGTTCCAAAGGTAACAGGTTGGATTCTCAAAATTTGAATTTGATTTCTCAAATTTGAAATCAATTTTAAAATGGTTCGTTGATGTTAGCTTAACTAATGAAATGATAATGATGACATGGTAGTTAATACATCCTTAGTAGAATTTATTGATATGTATATATAATAGTAAATAATACCTATCTCTATAATATTTTGAAAATGGTTCATATGATATGATTGAAGATGGAATCATTTGAAGCTCTGAAATTTTCATTTACAAACAAACACACATGTTTAAAGTTCATCTCTCAAGATAACCAGAAATTGAAACCTATTTCTCCACATAATTCATACATAGACCACCAAAACTCCTAAGTTTATACAAACATCTTATCCAAATCTATGAACCAAAGGGGACCTCAGTGATTTGAAAAAGAAATCAAACTATATTTACATCATTTAAAGCAACACATAATGTTTGCCATAGCTCTGTAAAACAAAACTATATACAAAAATCCAATAGAAGGAAGTTGGGGAGCTGAGAAAGAGTGAAAGGGAAGGGAAATGAGAAACTGCAGATTTTGTAAGAGAAAGAGAAGAAGTAAATATGGTGCATACATAAGAATAAGATCAGATAATGAGAGCACCTACCACTTTAATGTCAACAAGACTTGGAACTGCTGCGACACAGAGGAAGCTAAGGGTCTTTGCTGTTTCCATCTACGTTGTTAATTGTGTTGTCCTTTTACCTTCACTTCTCTGTCAATCAAAGTTATGTTGCGTGGGGAAATGGGAGTGCTCTCTCTTCCCTTATTTGCAATTCTGCAAATAAGTTTACTTACTGTGGGGCTGTCTGGATCAAGTTGTCATCTTAACTACAAGCCTTTACTCAAGGATGATGATGATGCATGGCCGCACGTCTACCTAAAGGTCATGGCCATTTTTGTTTAGAGAGAGAAGAGAAGAATGGTACTAACCAGGTTACATTATGTGGGTCATTCAATGCATAAGAGAGAGAAGAGAAGAATGGCACTAACCAGGTCACATTATGTGGGTCATTCAATGCATAAGAGAGAGAAGAAACAAATTTATTCTTTACAAAGCATTTGTTACTGATTCTAGGACAGGTAGCTAGGTTGTGACTACTCATCTAATAACTTTTCATAGTAGACTTTCAATTTTTCTTAAAAAATTTTAATTTGATAGATTATGAGTCTCTTTGGAATGACTTAATTACAAGGGCTTAAACGTTCCTTCAAGTACTTAAAAAGTCATTCAAAATAGGCCTTATGTTGGTGTGTTAGTTGTTTTTGTTACTACTTTTCCTAGTATTGTTCTTGGATTTGCATTTGAAATCTTAATCGATTTCAAAACCTGAAAACAGGTTACTTGATAAGAACAGCTTTTTCTAGCATCTAAAATTTGGAGTTAAAAAAAATGCTTGTAGGAAATAGACTACAAAGGCTAACGAACCTAACTTCAAAACTAAATCTCTGTCAAAACCTAATAGAAAATGTAGAAGAAAAGGAATCTAGATGCCTGTGGCAAAGATCTCTCAATTTCCATACAAGGAAAACCCTCATCGGACAAATCTTGGTATTCTTAATCCCTATTAACCATTCGTCATTAATGCCAAATAGAAGAGGAAGGGTTGCAACAAGGCAAGTTTGAATATACGGGCTGTGAATGGATGGAGGGGTCATCAATTGGGAGAAGATAATAGTATTATACATCGGGCGGAAAGAGAAAAATAACAATAAATCTTGAAATGTGCTACAGAGGAAGATTAAATAATGAGGTCAATCTAGATTAAAGAGGGAGTAGTTCAGCAAATAAAAAAGACCATTTAATGCATGATGTTTTTAAATTTTAAAAGAGTTTTAGAGTTTCCAGGATATTTGTTGGGACAGAGTAAAACCTGGCAGCCTGCTTTTAAATTCCACTATAATTACGGGGAGAAAGCTAGGAAAGCTGCTACCCTTTTGTCATTTTCTTGATAGAGCAGTTATCTTTACGAACCCCTTCTTCAATATTATGTTTATAACAATGCCATGGACTGATGGCTTGTCGACTTTATAGTTTCACATTCAATCTCTCTTTCTGAACCAGAAGGTTTTGGTGATTCATCTCCTACTGAACTGGGACTTTCCCTCCAATGGCTGTAGTATGTTCTGAAGCAGCCTCACAACGACTCAGAGCACAGGTAAAATGCCTACTCTTCCTAAGCAAGTTTTTAACTTTCTTTTCGTTGTTCTTCTCCTCAGGCATCTCTCAGCTCATCCCCTTCTTTCCTTTACAGGTTTGGGTTTTGAAAGTTTCTATTCACTGTGAAGGGTGCAAGAGGAAGGTTAAGAAGGTTCTGCAGAGCATTGATGGTACCATTTGATGTTGTTCACTTTTAACTGTTTTCGGTTTCAAATGTGAGAAAATTAACCGACAGTCATGAACTAAACCATTATAATCAGCTGGAATGGAATTGTTGGTTTTCTTACGAGCCAAACATAGGAATAGGTACTTTTACAAGTGGCCCTTAGTCTAAAGCTTTGGAAGTGATGACCTTCTTAATATTGTAGGTGTTTATACGACTATCATTGACTCAGACCAACAGAAAGTCACGGTCACTGGAAATGTTAGTCTTGAAACGCTGACCAAGAGGTTGGCCAAAGCAGGTAAACATGCGGAAATATGGCCAGAAAAGCAAGGGGGAAAAGAGAAACAACTCATCAAGATGTTGGAGACTAACAAAGGCAACAGCCAAGAAAATGGAAGAAGTCCGGGTACTAATAAAGCTTCAGCAAAGAAGGTTGGGTTTAAGGTAAACCCTGTTGAGAACAAGCGTAAAGAACAGAATGAAAAGTCTAAGAATATTGAAAGCTCTTCCAGAAGTCCTTCGGCGGGGTCATCCGACTCCAAGGAGAATGCTATTGGACATGAGGGTTGTTCTCCAGACAAAGGTGGTGCAGGGAAAAGTGGTGAAAAGAAGGAAACAAAGGGGCAACCAGGTATTAGTGATAAATCAGGTTCAAACCACCAAAATGGACATGGGACACTCAATGTGGATCCAGATGTGGGCCACAAAAAGGCTAACCCACTGGCCCAACAAATATACACGGGTCCAAAAGGTTGTTTTGTCCCTCCACCTACTTTGGGGTTAAATTACAATGCGCCGCATTTAGGTAAAGGCCTTGAATTTCTTTACAGTGTCCCACCGATTCCATTTTCATATTCAAATGATCAGACAGAAAATTACGAGGATCAAGCAAAGTCACAGGCCTACATGGATTATTTCAGTGAAGAGAATGCCCATGGATGCTTCATCATGTGATCTACTAATATCGAGCCAATATCAAATCAAGGACAAAACAAGATGATTTGAAGTGCAGGTTTTAATGTAGTAAAACAGCTGAGGATGAGTATAGATGTACATGAGTGAGATCCTAAATGACAAGAAGGTTAACAAGTAGAAAAGTTTTGAAGGGTTGGGTGATTCTAATTTTTGGGTTAAAAAAACTTCAGGGTTAGTATGCTCTCTAATGACTCTGACTATAAGTAATCTAGAAAAGTATTCAATTTCAATATCATCCCAAAAAGTTTATTGATTTGAAAATTTTCATCTTGAGATATTTTTTTTCTAGCTAGAACAAATCAATTTATATTACACCATGTACACTGTATATCCCATACAGTATAATGCATTTGTGGTTACGCTTTCACTAACATTCTATTCTCCACTCAAATCCAAAGCCCATCTAACGTTAGCATCTAGAGCTAACTCGGCAAAAGGTAAATAGAGATAATGACAAAAGAAGTCAAAATAGTATGTAATTGCTAGAGTTTTTCCATCTTCTTGGACCCAAGCAATTCATAAGAAAATGATAGTATTAGCATTCTCAGACCATTTTTTCCTAGTATTTTGTCCATCTTGGACCAACCAGTTTGCCGGTAAGTGTAATTTAGCAGCTATAACTAGTGAAGAGAGATGATGACAATTCCCTGTGATATTTACAGGCGAACTTTACAGGGGAGAAGGGAACCATAAACCATCACAATCACTAGGAAAGCCACATGTAAACAAAAGTCAATGCCGAAACCTGGAAATGTTCTTAGCAGCCAAGCCTTTGTGGGATCCAAAACTAAGTGAATATCGAATAAGATGCAGAATCTAACAGACCCTACAAGAAGTCCACTAGTTTCATTTTTTTAAATGTGGAAGTGAAAGATCGAACTTGTATTGTATTCCTTATCCAACATGCAACATTTAACTAGATGGAAGTGAAAGAACAAAACTACACTTTTTCAATATTAATATTGAAAAAGATAGTATAACATTATCTTAGACATTGACCACAATGGAGAAGGAACAATGATATGGTGATTATTATTTCCGGTAATATCATTCAGACCCTAAGACAATCCTTCGAGGTTGCATCCAAACTTTAACTATTCTTCAATCTTTCAGAAAACCATCTCTAAGAACATGGAGACTTCACTATAATTAAAATGTATTTTATTGTAAAGGTACAAGAACCTGATTTGAGAACAAGAGGTTCTTTGATCAGATTTTGAGCTAAATAATGAAAAGAAATATAGGACCCTATCAAAATCAATTGTCACTCACTCAGATAAATAAGGAATGAGAACTACAACTACAGAGTACAAGTGTATAACTACGGAATAAAAATGAGCTAAAGCAAGCAAAAACAGCCAAATTTAAGCTTACATGCTAGTAGATGCCCTTGTGGTGCGCTGATTTGTTCCAAGGATGATTACAATAACAGTTACATCATCATGATATTTCCTTCTCCTGCCGGCTGGAATGGTAATTAATTCTTCCTTGCTAAAACCTATAAAACATAAATTTTTACATCATCAACACCGATGGATACAAATAGATAACTGAAATTGCAAATTATCAGCACAAAATTAGTCGACTTCTGAGCAAATGAATAAAACACCCCGTATCTCATACCTTATTTATGGAGTAGTTGATGAAGAAAATAAAAAACTTTGGCGTATGGGTTTCAATAATACACAATATTGCACTATCCTGGTTCTTTGTAAGATCTGATGTTTTTCAAAGATTAGGTCTGACTTGTATACAAAGTTCAACATGAGTCAAACTAGTCCTAAAGGCTTCGTACTTATCTAAACCTATAAAATGTACTGTGAAAGAAAATCGAATTAATCTGTATAAGAAAACCCATGATAAAAAATGAAGAGCTGTGTTTTCACTGAACTTGTACTCGACGCCAGTACCCTTTAATAATGACTAGATTGTATAATATTAAAGGAAAGCTCTCAAAAAAAAAAGTATCCCAGGTGAAGACAGTTAAGAGGATACTATCTTACAGCAGCAAGGGTACTCCAAAGTCCAACCTCAACTTGTTCCCATAGTATTAGTCTTTTAGTCGGGAGTTAAATGATAGCAATAGACCCTAATTCTTCTATGTTTTCTTTCCCAATAGTGTCAAAAAAAATTTAATGTTATATCTTCTAACAATGATTGGAGAATTCACCTTCTGTTGAAGGGAATGCTCAACTTTAGATACATAAGAAGCTTCTGCCATAAAAAAAATTAACAAAACAAACTGAAAAGTTGACTTCAGCTAGCTGCTAAGAACATCATATATGATTAAGTTCAGCTCTTTAAACTAAACCATGGTCAACATACGACATTAAATGTAAGCATTAAAGTTTGTCCTTTTTTATTTTATTTTATAATTATTATTATTATTTTTTTGTCGTGCATTCATGATAATATCATGCCAAAGATAAGTCAATAAAAAGAAAAATTTTACTTCCATAAATGTAAATTGGGAAACGATTCAAACATTTTACAGAAAACGATTTGGAGTTCACCTGCGCAATCAGCTGCTTTCAATAGGAGCTGCTCCAGTAAAAATTTTGCAGGATCACCAGTAGGGTTGCTCAAGATATATGAACGGACAAGGTTCACTGCTTCCTCATTGCCAAAAAAGTCAAACAAACCATCACTTCCAACTATAACAAAGCAATCTGATTTTGATATCCTATGGATAGACAATGCCGGTTGAGTGGAAACATAGGGAGGGCTTATTAGGCTAGGAACTCGAAGAATACCCATCAAAGCATCATTAAACTTTTTCTGCAGAGGAAATAAATGTATAATAATCAACTTATGATGGACTAAAATAATTTCCAGCAATACAGACTAGGTTACCTGCTTCACTAGAAATGAATACCATTTTTAGTATAGATAACACATCAACTTCATTCTGAAAATTTATGTCCTATATACAATAAAGTAGTCATGCATATTGATTTTTTTGTCCAGAGCTGATGGATTTTTATCAAGGTCGGGTGGAATCCGAAGTGACAGGAGAAAAATAGATAGAGTCCTTACAAGTACAGGCTGGGGTGGTGGATTCGTATACAGAACATAAATGGATATGGCAAAGCTATCCTAAAGTATCAAGCAGGTATTACTGGTTAGCATGAATACTTAAGACAGAAATAAAAAATTCAATTTAGTTTAGCAACCTGCATCCTTTATTATTACTATTATCTTTTTAAAGAAGCAACCTGAATAATTACTAGCATATTAAGACAGTGCCGCTATTTTATTTATTAAATTCTATACACTACACAAACAGAGAAATGATTTCGTGTTATATGAGATTATGGCCATACTGACAGGCACGGAATGTATAACTGTAACCTACCGACTTCAAGTAGCCAACTCCAAAAGCACGAGTCACCTTTAGTTTTCCTTTAACTTTCCCACCAACAATGATTGTCGGATCATCAGGATGATCATGATGTAGCCGTGCTCTCTCAAGTTCATTATCCACAGTGTGACTCTCAGTGAGCTGGACAGCTTTCAGTCCCCCATTTCCTCTCACGTCAAGGGTAGCTAGTACTGCTCTACTATCACCCAAATTTAGCGTGTATAAATCCTTTCCATGAAGAAGAACAACTAAAACACATGATCCAACAGAGACTAAATCAGGACGATCCTCCATTTCCTGTTCAACCATGTGCAGAAAATCATTCTCTGCTTGACTAAGAGCACGCTGGAGGCTATCAAGCACCCCATGCCTCAGAGGATAGTTTGTCATTCCTGCTTTGGCATATGAATGGTTCTCGAATACACTGTGGATATCTGAAGCATTTTTACTATTGTTTTTCAAAGGAGAAAATCTTTCATGAGTAATGCTACCATCATCCAGAGGATGTGAATTATCCATGTCCAAACCGTCGGAGGCTTCATTCTTAGCTTCCCAATCTAGTAGGTTAAAATAAAATACGATGGTCTCATACAATGTGCCAGCAAGAAAATCAGCTGCATCTCTTCCATTAAAACCATCATAAATTCCACAAAATAGCCATCCATTTTCTTCAGAACAAACAGCTTGGACCCTGTCCTCACCGGCAGCTCCACCTGCCACTTGCACTTCCTTAACATTAAGAAAACCTTCACTTCCGGAAGGGGCACTCATGGATTTCGATAAGTATGAATCATATTCAGATGTTGGGGTAGATGGACTGCAGCTTAAGTTTGACAGACTACTCTGCATCGACGTGGACAATATATCCAACCTTGAAAGAGTAGGTGATGAGGGAACCTTACGGAAGGAGTTAGGAGAGTCCCAGGTCGGAAGAATTTCTTCTCCTATTAACCCATTGCATATATTTGTGTTTGCTAGGGTAGCATTTGCACTCAAGGCAGCCCCAGATAAGCAAGAGAAACTGCTGATCCTTTGAAGTCCAGGCTGGATCTCAAACTTGTCGGAAACCTCACGGATTTCATCTATGTTACCATTGCATTTATAACCAAAGCTAACTTCAAGTTCTCCCTCATGTTTTGTTGAAGCTTCGTGAAGCATAGTATATGACTGTTGCAACAAATACATTTCATTTTCAATGTTCATAATAAAAATGGAAAAGTTAGTTACTATGCAGCATTTTCAAATTTAGTCAGATATGAAAGGTCAAACTCGATTTCCTTTTCTATAGCACCAAATAAATCCAAACATAATTGAAATTTATATTTAAACAAACTGTGAAAACTGGGAGGGGCTCTGTAATGTATTAAACTCAGTATGTATAACATCAATCAATTGGCCAAGTTTTGATCATCTTTTGAGGGGTGCTAGTTTTCTTACTCCCTTTGGAGTCGTTGCTTTAGTTTGTTTGGGTCACCAAGGAATGGCATAGGAAATGTCCCTCTGATTGATGAGATCATGATGAACTCTCTTTTTCAGGATAAAGGGAGAGTCTTGTGGCAGGCTTGTTGTTTCGCATTCTTGAGGGGAGTATGGCTTGAGACAAATTGTAGGATTTTTAGAGGAGGAGGGCGTTAGATTTAATGCGTCTTTATGGACACCAGTTAATCGGGTTTTTTGAAATTACTAGTTGGGTATCATTCTTTTGGATTTGACTCATTTCTTGTAGTTGAGGACTCTTTTTGTGGGCTTATTATTCTATGCCTTGCACATGCTTTCATTTTTTCACAATGAAAGCTTAGTTCCTTACCCATAAAAGGAAAAAGAAAATCAATCAATTGGCTGAAAATTGAAGTGTGCATCATTGCTATCGTGTTCAACTTTTAGAAAATAAAAATCCACACTCCGGTTTCCTTTAGCTCTCTTTCATATTCAATTAGCCTAGCCCTCAGGAATCCGACTAAAACCAGTTATGATTACTAAAACATATGTTACCTTACCTAACCTTTCCTTTCCTTTCCTTTGACGAACTAAACTTAACCATGCAAAGAAAAAAAACCAAACAATGAAACAATAGCACAGTTCCGGAAACTACATGAGCAAGACAACTAAATATGAAGTGCCATTTCAGTGACAAACCTGGAACGGTCACAAGAACAATTAAATTCTCAACTTCAATCACGGTCACTGACAGACAGACAAACGGATTAGCTATGAACTTGAAACAAAAAGGAAAGAGGCTAAATAGACTAATCAAACTCACAGAAACTAACAGCATAGTGTCAGTACAAAACGGATAACCATCGCATAAAGGAGAAACAAATCCTCTATATATATATATATTCAAAGACAGAAAACAGAAAACCCTTCAAAGCATAAAACAGCCGAGAATCAACCAAACAAACCAATTCAGACAAGAACAAAAAACAACAACCTAATTCAACACGCCGCGCAGCCGCCACAAAATCCAGAACACACGCTACAATAAACAAAACAAAACAATTCAACATACACACTTGCAAATAAACATTGCAACAAGCCAGCCGCCGGTATCGGCATCGATCATTAAAACGCCATTATCAAGCACACAGAAACAGAAACAGAGATGGCTGAAAATTGAAAGAAACAACAGAAAAAACAAAAGAAAAAGAGAGCAGAAACTCACCGAAGAGGAGGGAATCGAAGCAGATGAAGATCAAGAGCAATGAAAAGAAGAAGAAGTGAAGATAGACGAAATATGCATCTGTATGAGAGTGGAAGCAAAGACAAAAATGGAGAATCTGTAATCAGAGTGGTACATTAAAGGCAAACCCATTGGATGGCCACCAAGACGTTCCCCTAAATTTAGACTATTTTTAATATTCCGCTTTTTGTTTAATATTATTAAATATCTTACTTAACTGATTTTTGTTTTTCGTTTTAATATTAATTTCATTTTTTTTTGTTTAATTAAAATTATAGATTTTTATAACTAAATCTGTACAAACCATTTTTTTTATTAGTTTAAAAAACTGGTCAAATATAATTTGTTTAAATTATAAGATTTTGAATTTTAAACTTAGATAAATATATATATATATATATATAATATTTCATATTATAAACTCATTTTTTATTTTTTGTTACATTAAACTATACTGGATGTTGTAAAATAATAATTATATTTTTATAAATGTCAAATATGTTGATATTGGGCCCACTAAATTACATTTGAATCAAGGGGCAAATTTGGAATGGTATGGCTTTTCAGTCACGGAAAGAACAATTAGTTTAATATAACCAAAATTAAAAAGATAAACCTTATGAAATTCTAAAATTTTTAAAAATAAAAACATTAAATCAAATGCATCCATCATGAACATAAAAGAAAATATTTTCCTCCCCTTTAATTTTTTTTTTTAATAAATAAAAATCCAATGGAGGATTTAAAACTAGTGATAGTAATAGTTTAGGTGACGAATTTAAGACTTGTATTTATTTGAATTTTTTAAATTTATTTATTTTGTAGTCTTATAAGTAGCATTAATTTTTTAAATATGGTGTATTTTTAAAATTTTGTATAAGGATTTTCTATACACCTTTTATAAATATAAATATTTGAGTGTACATGATTTGGGTAGAATTTTTGGATCGATTCAAAATTTATCCTCTTTTCCTGGCAAGTCGTCAAATTCATCATTTTTTGGTAACTATTAAAAAAAACTATATCTATTCACCATAAACGGGTCACATTAATAACTAAAACATCACAAAATTTACTATCATCTATTATAATTAAATGGGTTAAAAACGGGATTTAGTTCATCTAACTAAAAAAAATTCTCAAATTTCTTGTTTTCCAAAAATTCAACCCAACCAAAAAACAAAAACTAACATGATTTGGTCCGAGGCATTTTAGGAAAGCCCAAAGCAAAGTCATGAGAGCTTAGGCTCAAATTGGATAATATCATACCATTGTGTAGATCTGTGATTCCTAATAGAGTTTGAATAGTTCGAGTTAGTAACTTAGAGTTTGCATTTAAAGAAACTACGAGAGGTTCAAATTTGTATCTTTACCCTTAAAAACTTCGATATAGGGATGAAATAGAATAGCACAATCTTCTAAATCTTCTGTTGTTGATGAACTTCGAGTTTCTTCTTCTGCCAGAGCCGATCCACTGCACTGTCGGCATCTCCCTACACAATATAAAAGAAAGCACCACAAGTATGTAATAGAACTCTTTATCGTCTGTGTGCCCAATGATTATGAGAGGAACCACATAAAGAACATGAAAATTGAATATTGTGACAAACTGATATGGTGCCAGACATGATACAAGCGATCATAGGAAGCATCAATCTCATAGTGATTGATGAACTCTATAGCATGATTCAAGACAGTTGCACGAAAAATAATTGGGAGCATCGATGTCATATCCAAATGACAGAAAAATTATGAGCAATGGCTGCTTATCCTTCAATAATGGCTGCTCTCACCGTTTAAGAGGAAGCTAGAGGACAAAGGCCGATCACATCAAAGCCATCTGCGGACTCAATTTTGGTGACATTTCATTTCGTATCGATTGAGAAGGGGAACAAAGCATTCATTCAATTAGGTAGAAGAACAAAACATTCTTTTATAAAGGTGTAGAAACCTCTCATTTGCAAACGTGTTTTAAAAACCTAAGGGAAAGCCCAAAGAGGACAATATCTATTGGCGGTGAGTTTGGGTTGTTACAAATAGTATTAGAGCCATACGCCGGGCGATGTGCCAGCGAGAAGGGTGAACCCCGAAGGGAGCTGGACATGAGGCGGTGTACCAGCAAAAATGCTGGCCCCAAAGGGGGAGTGAATTGAGGAGTCCCACATCGATTGGAAAAGGAAACGAGTGCCAACGAGATCGCTGGCACGAAGGAGGGTGGATTGTCAGATCCCACATCGATTGAGGGAGGAAAACAAAGCATTCTTTATAAGGGTGTGGAAACCTCTCCCTAGTAGATGCGATTTAGAAACTTTGAGGAGAAACCCGAAAGGAAAAGGCTAAAGAGGACAATATCTCCTAGCGGTTAGCTTTGACCGTTACAATTTTACAGGCTTCTACCTTTCTTCTCATTTTCTTTTAGTGCATTTTGATTATCGTCTATAGAATGTAGTTTAGCCATGTTCAAAATTTCTTTACTTGAGCTATAATTTAGTCTAACTATAAATCTTCTGTGTTCTTTACTTTTGAGTCAAATTAGCTTCAATTAGGACAGCAGCTCATAAACTAAGTGCTTAACAATGTAACAGGCAACAACAATCACAGATGAATGAATAAACGTGTTTGTTGTTGCATATAAAAACACAGCCAGCAGAAGAAGAATAAGCCATGCTCAATAGTCAATTGCATACCCTTTTCTAGGAGAACTAAGATCAAACACCAACGGATGAAATCATAAGCAAGTTGAGTTCATTGGACTTAAAAATACCTAAACAATCCTGAGTCGAAGTAAACTAATATGTCCTGTTCCAAGTCAATGATCGAATGTATTACAGATTAGATCGCATCCTATCGCTACAAATCCATCAATAACGAGTGCGAGAGAGAGAGAGAAGCAAAGAACAATCACCTGTGCCCGAAGGAAACCACAGAGAGCAAAAGTGGAAAACTGGCCAGTGTAGATGCCATTTTCATCCAAATGCCCAATGTTGATCTGGACGGAAGCATGGTCCTTGGAAGTAATCAATCGATTCGTTGCGGAGCTGCATCAGCGACACAATAAGCCATGAATCAAGTGCGATCATCGAAGCTAGACGATAATAATAAGATTACGAACCATTTTCTGGGAATTTAAAGCTCTGATTTTACCCTCCTCGTTCTGCATCTATGAACTAATTGTTTAGAATTAGAAAACCTGCGACCCGATCAATGTTTCGTAAGCACACATACAATTGCGATTACCGATTCTGCCGTCAGATAATGGAGGGAAAATCGATTCAAATTTGCAAGGAAAAAGAGGAAAAGATTCTAAAGACTACAGAGAGAAATTTAACCACTGCGAGGAAAACTAGCGATCCAAGAGAGAATGGCCGATAAAATTTGAATCAAATTTAAAATCGAAACTGCGTTGAGAGATTTTATTTTTAAGCCAAAAGTTTGTTGGATTGGTACCCAACTCAATCTTCTATTTTGGAGTTCGGTTCTAGTTGTCCAGTTATAAATTTAAAAAAAATTAAAAAGTTTTATTTATCCACCATTTATAATTATTCGATAAAATTTTAGATAAAAAATATTAAAAATTCACTAACAAACAAATTAACATAAACACGAATACAACTAAATACGATTAAATACTGCTCTTCAAAATTGATAAATATAAAGGTAAAGAAAATATAAGTAAATGATAGATCATTAAAATAAAAAATAATAAAAATAAAAATGATTAGTTTAAAAAAATTATACACGTAAAAAATAAAAAATATTGTTGCATAGATTTCGAGGCTAATTGTAAAAAAATAATATTGCAATAGATAATAAATACATTAGCATTTAGAATTACCTATCACAATTTTATAATAAATTTTTTTAAATTTATTGGAACATTTCGAGTCAATAGTTTTAGGTGTCAAAGAACGCCTAAAACAATTAACGATTCTCTCACAAGTAGAAGCTATAGTAAACACGATAAAAATATTTTGAACAACTTCGGATAAAATTATATATTTAAATTCATTTACTTTCCACCAAGTCCAATGAAAAAAATGATAGATGGAATGTAAAATGAATTTTAAAGTCGTTTTCCAATCAACATAAATATAGAAATTTCGAGTTAAAAAAAATTCTCTTAAAAATACTGAAATGATGAAAACATTATGCTTTAAAATTACTCAAATGTATGAACATTTGAACACGTTATTCAAGAAAATTACTACTTTTGAATTGCATTTCTACGAAAAGCTATCAAACTCTTCGTCTCTATACCCTGTAGTGTTTCTTTTCTGGCTTTTTTCAGTATCTTACTTGTTCCTCCCGGGTAGCTTCGTTTATTATTGTTTGCAGATGAAACTTGACAAACTTTTGTGTGTACTCTTGGCTTCTTCAAAACCTTACTCGACGGTGAAATCTCACATATCTTTACTTGACGACTCTGTTTTCGAGCTTTTTCGTTTCGGCAATTTTGTATATATCGTTTCTCAATTTCTACCGCCTTCTCTTCTAATTCCTTCATCTTCAACTCGTACATTTGCTTCCATCTGAACGATTCCTTATGCTTCATCCTTTCAAGAACGTCGTTGACAGCATCTATACCAAACTTTCTCTCGTAGAAAGTTTTCCATAATTTGTTTGTTACGGGAGTGAGGTCTCTTCCTTTCGAACAGTTCTCTATATGCATCAGTTGGTCGACGGTGCAATGCGGCAAAATATGTTCAAGGAAATTTAGATCGGTTTGGCCGACATCTCCAAGAAGTCTCAGGCTATCTATAGCTTTGTTTACTTGTTCAGACATTGTTTGGCAGACTCGAGAGGGTACAGGTTTAGCCTTAGTTTTAAGTTTGAAGTAAATGACTAAAGCTTATACACTTACCATGCTTCTCGTTCTCCTTTTATAATTATATTCTATTTTGCCGTTATAATTTCAAATTTTATTTTAAAATATCTCAATCTTTATTTTAAAATATTTATATATCAAAATTTATCTAAATCTCTTACCAGATTTAAATATTCTAAAAATATTTAAATATCTAAATTTTTATTACTAAAATATCTAAAATAGAGCGTAAAATTATTTAATTTAATTCAATTTCTTTTTCTTTTTTAATTTTAATTTAATTTTATTCTTATAATTAATTATAAATATCAAAACTCAACCACTAAATTTAAATTTTAATATTTTATAAATAATTTATTACAGTAAATATTAAAAAAAAATAATCTTACATAATTCTAGAGGGACAAATGGCATGTTGAAAATGAAGCTATCAACCACTTGGCTTTGACTTTGACTTTACTGGAACCCCACAAATTATCCCACAAGCTGACACTCACACGTCATTTGCCACGTATGAAGTTAATAAATGTATCCCAAATAAAATCACCTTTTTTTATAGAAGTAATTTAATTAATTTACCGTTATCATTCCATATTAATCTATAAATTTTCATTTTTATTATATTTTAACATTTGTTTTATTTTTCAAATTTTGCACTAAAAAATATTTTTGTTATTATAAAATTTGGATTTCAAAATATATTCGTATTTATATTAGACAAAATAAAGGGGAAAAAAATATTTAATACATATTTTAAAAATAATAATAATAAAATAGCACCATAAATTTTATACCGTATATTTTTAAAATATAATCAATAAACCATTTCTAATAGCTATCAAGTTTCTGATCGAATCTCCGTTGTAAACCTGAAAATTTTTTAGTTGGGTTATCCCGTTATCAACTTAAAAGAAATTAAAAAGTTTTATTTATCCCCATTTATAATTATGGATAGAATTTTAGATAAAAAAATATATATATTAAAAGTTCACCAACAAAAATCAATCTATAATTATTAAAAAAATCATCCACCATAAACAGAGAAAATTATAATATCTTAACATCATTCAATATTACTATATAACTAAATACGACCCTCCTTAAAATGGATTAGTCTAAGTAAGGAAAATAGAAGGAAATGATAGATCATCAAAATAAAAATCAATAAAAATGATTAATTTAAAGAAACTATACATATCAAAAATAAAAATAAACGTTGAAATAGATTTATTTATACCATTATACCAAGTTCGAGGGCCTAAATGGTAAAAAATATATATATAGTGATATAATAATGTTACAAAGATAATAAATACATTAGAATTTAGAATTATTTATCTCAATTTTATAATAAATTTTTTTAAATGATTTTGTGTCAACAAAACTCTTAAAACAATCAACAATTCTTTTATTAATACTAAACGTTGATCCACAAGCTATAGTAAATACTAGAATGATAAAAATATTTTGAACAACTTTGATAAAATTATATAATTAAATTCATTTACTTTCCACCGAGTCCAATGAAAAAAATGATATAGGGTCGTTTTCTAATCAACACAAATATAGAAATTTCGAGTTTCAAAAAAATTCATTTAAGAAGACGTGAAATGAAAACATTACTCTTTAAAATTACTCAAATGTATGAACATTTAACACTATATGCGTTTGTTTAAAAAATGACTTAAATGCAAATATAAATCATATCCAATAACCTATCATAAATCAAATTCTTAAAATTTAAACCAAATTATAGACGAGAACAAAACTTGGATTTATTTCAATTCTATTACACCGGTTATTCTAGAAAATTACTACTTTTGAATTGCATTTCTCCGAAAAGCTATCAAATTCTTCGTCTCTATACTCTGTCGTGTTTCTTTTCTGGCTTTTTTCAGTATCTTGCTTGTTCCTCCACTGTAGCTTCGTTTATTATTGTTTGCAGATGAAACTTGACAAATTTTTGTCTGTACTCTTGGCTTCTTCAAAACCTTATTCGATGGCGATATCTCACATATCTTTACTTGACGACTCTGTTTTCGAGCTTTTTCGTTTCGGCAGTTTTGTATATATCGTTTCTCAATTTCTACCGCTTTCTCTTCTAATTCCTTCATCTTCAACTCGTACATTTCCTTCCATCTGAACGATTCTTTATGCTTCATCCTATCAAAAACACAGTTGACACCATCCTTACCAAACTTTTTTTCGTAGAAAGTTTTCCATAGTTTGTTTGTTACTGGAGTGAGATCTCTCCCTTTCGAACAGTTCTCAATATGCATCAGTTGTCGACGGTGCAATGGGACAAAATATGCTCAAGAAAATTTAGATCGGTTTGGCCAACATCTCCAAGAAATTTCAGACTATCTATGGCTTTGTTTACTTGTTCAAACATTGTTTAGCAGACTCGAGAGGGCACAGGTTTAGCACGGGTTTAAGTTTGAAGTAGATACTAAAGCTTATATATTTACAATGCACCTCGTCCTCCTTTTATATTTATATTCTATTTTGCAGTTAGAATTGTAAAATATCTTAATCTTTATTTTAAAATATTTATATATCTAAATATGAAGTAAAGTATTTAAATTATTTTAAAATTTTCCTTTTATAGTTGTATTCTATTTTCCGGTGAGAATTGTAAAATATCTTAATCTTTATTTTAAAATATTTATATATCTAAATCTAAAGTAAAGTTATTTAAATTATTTTAAATTTTTTAAATAATTCATTCTTACAATATTTAAATTGTTTTTAAAATATTTAAACATATTTATTCTTCCAATATTTAAATATTTTAATTTTTATTATCACCGTATCTATTATTTAATTTAATTCAATTGAGTTTGTGATAATCTTCTAACATTTAATTTCTTTTTCTTTTTTTAATTTTAATTTCATTTTTTTAAAAAGAGGAAAAGATTAATAGAACTCGAAAGAAAAATCTAACCACTCCAAGGGATCCAAAATGTAAAGGCTTCCGATCAAATTTAAAAGAGAAACTAGAGGTCTACACAGTTAGATTGAATTGGATTGAAGAATTTTTTTTACTCAGTACAAAAGTTCGAGTTGGTTAGATTGCTAACCCAACTCAATCCGAAAATTTTCACAACCCAATCCAACTCGAAAATTTTCGGGTTGGGTTGTCGACTTGTCAACTTAATAAAAAATTAAAAAGTTTTATTTATCCACCATTTATTAATTATTCATAGAATTTTAGATAAAAAAATATTAAAATTTCACAAAAAAAAAAAATATTTATAATTAAAAAATCATCAACATAACAAAATAATATCTGAACATAATATTACTGTACAGCTAAATACGATACTCCTCGAGAATTGATTGCTCTAGAAAAATATAAGGAAATAATAGATCATAAAAATAATAATAATAAATAAATAAATGATTAATTTAAAGAAACTATACGTATCAAAAATAAAAAAATATTATAAAAATAATATTTTTTTATTTTTAAAAAAGTGATATAATAATGTTGCAATAGATAATAAATACATTAGCATTTAAAATTATATATCTCAGTTTTATAATAAAAAATTTTAAATTTATTGAAACTAATTTTTTATTCAACAATTTCGTGTAACGGTTTTAGATGTTAAAAAGAACTCGTAAAACCATCAACAATCATCTCACCAATACTAAACGTGATTTAGAAGCTATAGTAAACACTAGAACGATAAAAATATTTTGAACAACTTTTGATAAAATTATATATTTAAATTCATTTGCTTTCTACCAAGTCGGATGAGAAAAATGATAGATGAAAAGTCAAATCAATTTTAAAGTCGTTTACCAATCAACACAAATATAGAAATTTCGAGTTTCAAAAAAATTTATTTAAAAATACGTGAAATGAAAACATTACTCTTTAAAATTACTCAAATGTATGAACATTTTAAACGTAAATGTAGATATAAATCATATCCAATAACCTATCATAAACCATATTCTTAAAATTTAAACCAAATTTATTGATGGTTATACGTTCCAACAAAACTTGGATTTATTTCAATTCTATTGCATCAGTTCTTCAAGAAAATTACTACTTTTGAATTGCATTTCTCCGGAAAGCTATCAAATTCTTCATCTCTATACTCTGTAATGTTTCTTTTCTGGCTTTTTTCAGTATCTTGCTTGTTCCTCCACCGTAGCTTCGTTTATTGTTGTTTGCAGATGAAACTTGACAAACTTTTGTGTGCACTCTTGGTTTCTTCACAACCTTACTCGACGGTGAAATCTCACATATCTTTACTTGACGACTCTGTTTTCGAGCTTTTTCGTTTCGGCAATTTTGTATATAACGTTTCTCAATTTCTACCGCCTTCTCTTCTAATTCTTTCATCTTCAACTCGTACATTTGCTTCCATCTAAACGACTCCTTATGCTTCATCCTTTCAAGAACGCCGTTGACAGCATCTATACCAAACTTTCTTTCGTAGAAGGTTTTCCATAATTTGTTTGTTACGGGAGTGAGGTCTCTTCCTTTCGAACAGTTCTCAATATGCATCAGTTGGTCGACGGTGCAATGGGGCAAAATATGCTCAAGAAAATTTAGATCGGTTTGGCCAACATCTCCAAGAAATCTCAGACTATCTATGGCTTTGTTTACTTGTTCAGACATTGTTTGGTAGACTCAAGAGGGCACAGGTTTAGCACTGGTTTAAGTTTGAAGTAGATGACTAAAGCTTATACACTTACAATGCTTCTCGTCCGTTATATTCTAATATGTGATTAGAATTTCAAAATTTATTTTAAAATATCTTAATATTTTATCTTAAAATATTTATATATCTAAATTTTGATTTCGACTGTATTTAAATTATTTTAAAAATATTTAAATATATTCATTCTTACAATATTTAAATTATTTTAAAATAATCTAAATATATTTATTCTTCCAATATTTAAATATCTAAATTTTTATTATCACCATATCTATTATTTAATTTAATTCAATTGAGTTTGTGATAATCTTCTAACATTTAATTTCTTTTTCTTTTTTTTTTTTTAATTTTAATTTAATTTTATTCTTATAATTAATTTTAATATCAAAATTGAATCACTAAATTTAAATTTAAATATTTTATAAATAAATATTAAAAAAATAAATTTTAAATGCCAAATGGCATGTTGAAAATGAGCTATCACCAGTCGGCTTTGATTTGACTTTGTTGGATCCCACAAATTCACAGCTGGCACTCACACGTCATTTGCCACATAACGTGAAATTAATAAATGTATCCCAAATATAAAATCACATCTCTTTTTTTATAGAAATAATTTAACTAATTTACAGCTGGCACTTCTTATCGTTCCATATCTATAAATTTTCATTTTATTATATTTTATATTTGATATTTTTTTCCGTTCAGAAATTATATAATAAAATTTATAATATAATAAAAATTAGTTTTAAAATATAAAATATAAAAGTCCATGATTCACGTAAAGGAAGAAATAATTACTCAAAAGAAAATAAAATGTTAAAAAAGAAATAATAATAATAATATAAAGTGGGTCCCACAAGATAGGCAAAATCCTGTATAATTACGAAATTGCCATGGAGAAGCAAAAAAGAAGGCGAAAAACTATGTCTGAATACAAGGAAGCGCTTTCTTTGTAAATCGCGTTGTTCTCTTCCTTCTTCCACCGACTCCGAGAAACCCTCTTCTCTGTCGATCCTTTGTTCTTCGCGTTTCAGATCGAAATTAAAATCCAGTTTCAATTTCAAATCCATTTCTGAATCTCCATTGCCATTCGCATTCCAGATTGATTTTGAATTCTTCTGCTGTTTCTGTTCAAGGTTCTCATCTCGGAATCTGAGAAGATGATCGAGCGCATTCTCGGCCCCATCCGTCTCCGCCGGATCCAGAGGGCCTTCCGCCACAGCGCCGTCACTGTTCTTTGTCTCTTCCTCACTGTCGTTGTCCTCCGCGGTACTGTCGGCGCTGGCAAGTTCGGCACTCCCGAGCAGGACTTTAAGGAGATCCGTGACCATTTCACCTCTCGCGGTCGTCGCGTTGAGCCTCGCCGTGTTCTTGAAGAGGTACAGCCGGAGACTACCGACAAGCCGGCTGACCAGTCCAATAATTACGCTACATTCGATATTTCGAAGATTTTGGTGGATGAAGGTGAGGATGAGAAGCCCGATCCGAGTAAACCCTACAGTCTCGGTCCTAAAATATCCGATTGGGATCATCAGCGAGCTGAATGGCTGAAGAACAACCCTGATTTCCCTAATTTCATTGGACCTAATAAGCCCCGAGTTCTTTTGGTTACTGGATCCTCCCCAAAGCCCTGTGAGAATCCTGTTGGTGACCATTACCTTCTGAAATCGATTAAGAACAAGATCGATTATTGTAGGCTCCATGGGATTGAGATTTTTTACAATATGGCACTTCTTGATGCTGAAATGGCTGGTTTCTGGGCTAAGCTTCCATTGATTAGGAAGCTTTTGCTGTCTCACCCGGAGGTTGAGTTCCTATGGTGGATGGACAGTGATGCTATGTTCACTGATATGGCTTTTGAGGTTCCATGGGAAAGGTATAAGGATCATAACTTTGTGATGCACGGATGGAATGAGATGATTTATGATCAGAAGAATTGGATTGGGCTGAACACCGGAAGTTTTCTTCTGAGGAATTGCCAGTGGTCGCTGGACATTCTCGACGCCTGGGCGCCAATGGGGCCGAAGGGCAAGATTAGAGATGAAGCTGGGAAGATCCTGACTAGAGAGCTGAAGGGCAGGCCAGTTTTCGAAGCTGATGATCAGTCAGCTATGGTTTATCTGCTGGCAACTCAAAGAGATCAATGGGGGAACAAAGTATACCTTGAGAATGGGTACTATCTACACGGATATTGGGGCATTCTGGTCGATCGATATGAGGAGATGATTGAGAATCACCATCCGGGGCTCGGCGATCACCGATGGCCTCTCGTCACCCATTTCGTCGGGTGCAAGCCGTGCGGGAAGTTCGGAGATTACCCAGTAGAAAGATGCCTGAAACAAATGGACAGAGCATACAACTTTGGGGACAATCAGATTCTACAAATCTACGGCTTTACACACAAATCACTGGCCAGTAGGAGAGTGAAGCGGGTTCGGAATGAAACGAGCAATCCGTTGGAGGTGAAGGATGAACTCGGGTTGCTTCATCCAGCATTCAAAGCTGTGAAGGTATCATTATCTTCTTGATAGCCATTATAATACAGTGTTCAAAATCGTATGGTTTTGGTATTTATTTATCAGTTACTAATAATGTGGGAGATTTGTAAACTTTTTTTGGGTTCAAAATCTGCGTTTTTGATGTCAATTTCATTGATTTTTAGAAGGCTTTCCTCTTAATGGAAAATCTGAGAGATTATCTGTTTTTCTTTTTTTCTTTTTTTGGGTTAAAAGCATTATCTAATTTTGAGTTACAATAAAGTCTAGATTTCGTTAATTCTCCTATTTGTATAATAAAAATTCATTACCAATCTTTTAGGAGGAACACAATAAAACCCAACTCTGTATTATTAATGACGTAATTAATGCTCATGATTAATAGGGGACTAAATGAAGAATTTAGAAGTTAGAAACCTCAAGCTTGGAATAAAGAGAAATGAAATTAGGACACTTTTTAAGTTGAATTATAAATTTAATTTCATTAAAAAATTAAAAAAAATTATTTAATTTATATTGAGGTTCATGTCCAAATTAATTTGGGCTTTATTTCTACGTCCAAATATTAAATTTACAGCTTTGCCATAACATGAACGAAGATTAAAATATAATGTTCTTTAAAAAATAATTGTTCGTTCAGGCTTTGCTCAATTCTTCAGCTGAAAATCTATCAAACTGTTCAGCTCAGCTGCATAATCCAAGTCTGAGCCTACTAAAAAATGCATCATAATTAATGTCATCAATGAAATTTAATGGAGAATAATATACAACACCATCTCAAAAATGGAGACACCCTTCAACTTCAGGAGTCTCAGCTGACTGCCGCCATAGCTGGTTCTGGGTAGCCAGCAACGACATCGAAACACCGCTTGCAGAGAGTTGGATGTTCCGGGAACGACCCAACTCGTAACGAAAAGTTCCAACATCTTTCACACTTGGAACCTTCAGCACGAGACACACCAATCCAAACTTTGCTGCCTTCAATGAGACACTCTCCAGTGTATGGTGTGTTCTCTGTCAGCTCATTCTCTATGGCTTGATGAACCTCAACCTGTGTATGCCATTTCCAAAACACATGACTATCAAAATGTTGTCCTAAAGCTCTGATGATTATGAAAACTGGATCACGTTACTAACTATTCATAATCGGAACAATCACCAAGTCGAAGGTTTGGGTTTCGATCTAAACAAGATTTCCATAATAAGAAACTACAATGTGTACTTTCATGGATCGAGGAAGAATGTAGCTCCATCTTTCCATCTTATTTATCTATTGAAACCAAAGAACTTTGACTTCCAACAATCACCAGATCAAAGGCTTGGATTTCGATCTAAACAAGATTTCCATAACAATAAACTAAATATGTACTTTTATGGATCGAGAAAGAGCGTAGCCTTGACTCCAATCTTTCCTTCTTATTTATCCGTTGAAACCAAAGAACTTTGACTCCCAACAATCACTAAGTCAAAAGCTTGGATTTCGATCTAAACAAGATTTCCATAACAAGAAACTACAATATGTACTTTCATGGATCGAGGAAGAATGTAGCCCTGACAACACCTTTCCTTCATTTTCCAAGAAAAGTAGGAGAGCATAAGTAAGACAACATGATAGCGATATACACTAATACGCACGTCCTTTGACTTGAGGCAATGGAACAATGAATCATGGCACTTAAAACACTATACCCAATAAGCTATAGGTTATGCCTTTGTAAAAGAAAAACCCTGTTAGGATTACCTGAGATGTAATAAATATTCTTTGCAAAGTGTCTGCGTCATGGTTGGATTCACACATTTCACACAGCTTAGTAGCCAGACCATCTCCTGAGGCATGTAGATGGACTTTAGCCTCTAAGCTTGAACCAATCAATTTCCCAGTTCGAGCAACCTCGAGGACTTTATTCACCTCGGTTCTTAGCTGATCAAAGTGCTAAATGGTTAGCGAATCTTCTCAGATCCGAGGTTCAATAATTTAGTTTAGTTCATATTCGTGACAGTAAACCTTGTTTATAAGTTGTTATCAGAACTTCTGTAATCGTAAAGACATTAAATACCTCAAGAATATTTGCCCAGAAGTCAACTTCTTCTCTTGGAAGAGAAAGCCTAGTCTTATTTAAACTTGGCCACCTTGATTCAAAGACAAATTTTGCAGCAGAACCATCGTCGTTTGTATATTGGAAGGGTAAATTCTGCCACACATCCTCAGCCAAATGAGGCAATATTGGAGCAATTATTCTTGCTATGGAAACGATATGCGCTGCTAGAACTGTTTGACAACTTCTCCTAGTAAAACTCGTGGATCCCCTGAAATTGCCAACAAAATTAGCATTTTGCTTAAAGAAAAGAACCCCTTGCATAAGGAATAAGTAAGATAAAAAGAGAAAACTTACCCCACATATAATCGATCTTTAGCAACGTCAAAGTAGAAATTTGATAGATCAACAATTACGAACCGTTGTATGATCTGAAAATGTGAGAAGTTCCATGGTCAAATTACCACCAAATATACAAATTACCCAGGATTCGTTCTTAGCTCTAGAAAGCAACGTAAATTTCAGAAGACCACAAAACTTCTACCCCATTTATAATGAAGCAATAAGTCATAATTCAACGTTGTTTTTGGACATTTTGTTGGGTGGCTTTCCCAACTTAAAAGTCCTTACAGAATCATGTCAATATTTGGACGTATAAGTCCTCACAGAGTCACGTCGATCATGCAAGTAGTGTCATTGATAAGCTGGAAGAGACCTTGAATATAAATCAAGCCTTTAGGAACCAAAGGCTGAATCTAAGCATCCGTTGGATGATACTTTTCCAGGATATCCGTAAGAATTATTAAATGTAAGCTCAAATATGGGGATAAGAATTCAGTTTATCCACAAAGTTACAGCAACTAGAAGGAGGCATAGCTTTATGAATAGATTGGTTTTAAAGTTAATACAATCTTGCAATACTGTTGGTTTATTTCCAAAGCGTGGCCATTTGAGTTATTCTCCCAGCCCTTGACACCAGATTATGCTGATAATAATTAAAATTCAATGAATAAAATAATAAGATCATCAGAAGAAAAGTCACCTGAAAAATCTTAAAGAACTGATAGCTTTCATAGCTTTCTCTGATGTTGTTAATGATATTTTCAAGCTGAAACAATGCATGCTGGTCAATCCTTGGAAGATCCTGATATTGTACAGCATTTTCCTCCTGTCAATACAAACGAGATTATTATTATGTAGATACATAAAGAGAAAGGAGGCGAAAGAGTTGCTAATCTAAATGCTGATTCAAGAAAGGGGAGAAAAAAAAAAAAAAAAAAAACAACAGAATGCACCACAAGTCCTCTCTCTCTCCTACAAGGCATAAGCTAAGGAAAACATAAATGATTAAAATGAACTTACTGTCCAATCATGCAGATTTCCTAGAAGGAACCTTAATGTTCCTCGTAGCTTCCTATAAATATCTGACATTTGACGGAGAACTTGAGAACCGATCATCACATCACCGGTGTAGTCCACACTGGAAACCCAAAGGCGCAGGACATCTGCTCCATAGCCTGGGGCTTCCTGCCAGATACAAACAATTACAAGGCATCCAAGGGATTTAGTCTAGCCACTTTTAATGAGGAACCAGATATGAAAGTAGAACACTTCGAACCTTTTGATTCTTTCCTCCTTCAATCACAGACTTGGGATCAACTACATTACCCAAAGATTTGCTCATTTTCAGACCCTTCTCATCTAAAACAAATCCGTGAGTAATGACACTGGAATATGGAGCCTTCCCTGTTCCAAAGAAAGTCTAAAATTTTATACATCGGATTAGCTCCAACATAGATTTGATTCTGTTATGCATACACGTCGAAAGAAATAGATTCCCATTTATATAACAGCAATTGACCATGTAGCAGGCTCCCTTGCGATTGGTTTTGAAAGTTAAATAGATGGTTGATGGTTGGTTCACAATCTTCTTTACGAGGTTTGAAGTAGCTATTGGTTTTTCGTATTTGGTGGAGGCTTATTCTTAGTGTGGGCATTCATTTGCAAGCTCTCGAAGTCTTTCAGGCAAAGATAAAGGAATGTTTTATTAAATTTCATGGCTAATCTCTCCATCTTTATACTTGTTGTTAGGTATTTTTTTTCATTTATTTGGAGATGTTGAATATGTTACTGTAGTTATATAACACATGAATTTCATATATAACCTGGATGTAGACAAGAGAATGGGAGGTACAACAAAATGTCATGTTCGTTACTTCTAAACATCATTCAGATAGGAATTGCATAATCAACATTTGCCACACTTCCCTCCATGAGGATACATTATATCACTAAAGGATAATGTATGTAGAAAAAGGAAGGGGGATAAAACGAGTTACATTTGCATACCCTATTTCCTAATTTTTCGAAGAAATTTCTAAATAACTTCTATTAAAGAGTATAGAGCAGCATTAACTTTTCCAAGAAAAAAAGAAGACGTTCACAATTTTAATCACATCACCTTTTGTGGCAATGCTTGTCAACAAAGAACTTTGGAACCAGCCACGGTGCTGGTCTGTACCTTCAAGGTACAAATCAGCAGGAAAACTAAAACCATCTCGTGTCCCTAATACTGCTGCCCAAGAGGAACCTGAAATAAGGAGAGTGGAAATTTACAATCGAGTTCGATATCAAATTAACAGCATATGTATGACTTTTGAGTAGAAAGATCCAACTGATAACTGCTGGAGCATTTCTTCTTCAGTGGCTTAAAAAATGCCACCGACTTCACCAACAAAATTGTTGTGAATTAAGCAGGAAAATTCTCAGAAGAAACATTAGTGTTCGTATTGTTTGTTAGAAACATTTAAATTTAGTAATTTCACTAACGGAACATTATAATACCTGAATCAAACCATACATCCATTGTATCAGTTCCCTTTTCATATTCAGATGCAATTTCTCGGTATTTATCAGGAAGAAGATCCTCTACCGTCATATACCACCAAGCATCACTACCCTTTTTGGCTATTATTGCTGCCAAACAAACAATAAGAAGTATCAAACTTAATGAAAATGCGCAAAGCCATTACATTATAGAGCTGTTAAAAGTAATAACATAGTTTAGGAAAGGAAATTGAGAGTAATAATAAGTCTGTAAATCTTACACTTGATGTGGTTTACAGTGTCGTCATTCATAAGAGGTTCTTTGGTCTGCACATGATAAAAGACTGGTATTGGGACACCCCACGTCCTTTGCCGAGATATGCACCAATCAGAGCGGCTCGAGGTCATTGCAGAGATTCTATTTTCAGCCTGGACAGTAGTCCATTCTCACGAGGCATTAGTGATCAGATAGCTTAAAAAGCAGTATGGCTTTATTTAATGGTTGATTATTGAACAGGGGCACCAGTTAGATGTGCATTAGGTTAGGAAGAAACAGAAACAATGCAAAAAAGAACTTCCTATTCAAAAGTACAGCACACATTAATATACCAACCATCATTGTATGGTGATTTAAATGTTAAACAAATTTGGGAATCATGAGGTAAATATTTAAATGTTAAACAAAGGGAAAAACCAAATCAAATTTTTTTGTTAACAAAAGAGGTAAATATTTGAATCAAGCACTAGGAGTAAACAACAATGTCATTCGAACATCAATACCTGAGGAGGTATCCACTTTACTTCACCAATAGCATCCATAGCAGCCTGGCGAAATCCCTCCACTGATGCAAACCATTGCTCAGTTGCCCTAAAAATTGTTGGTTTCTTTGTTCGCCAATCATATGGATATTTATGCTCTGTATGAAGAGATGACATGTTGAAACCAAATAAATATGAAGAACCCAGACAAGGATTAGAATCATCATTTTTTCTCCTCCTTGTAGGAAGAGAGTAGAGTTTGTCCTTTTTTTTTTGAGGGGAGGGGGTGGGGGAAGGTGAACGCCTTACCGTACGATTCTTCCAAAATAAGTGAGAAATGATCATCCAAATATTTGACAACAGCCGTATTGCCATCCCCAAGTACATCAAGCCCGCTGAATTGCCCAGCTTCTTCGGTGAATTTTCCATCATCATCTACAGGAGATATTAGGGGGAGTCCATACTTCAAACCAGTCGCATAATCCTCCTGACCATGTCCAGGAGCCGTATGGACCAACCCAGTTCCTGTCTCAGTTGTAATGTAATCTCCTCCAATAACAACTTGGCACTCCCTCTTATCAATTGGGTGGATATATCTGAAGAAAACAATAGATTTGATGCTTAGTACACACAATGAAATCAAAATAATAAGGTAAATTATTAAGGACCCATTTAATAACCATTTGATTTGATGTGTTTGGTTTTTGAAAGTTGCGTTTGTTTACTTACAATTTCTTTACCATGTTGATTTACCACATTTCTAGATTTCTTCTAATTGAGTCTGAAACCTACAAGTTTTTTTAGGGAGAAAATTCACTTGATAAGAAACTGTCATTTTCACTGTTCCTTCTCATTGTTTAGGGAATGAAATGAAACCTGCAGTTTTCAAGTTCTGAACCCAACAATTTTTTCTTCACAACAAGCTTCACACCCCATTTTGCTTCCAAAGTTGGCACCAGGTCTGATGCTACAACAAGGAAAGGCCTATTTTCCTCATTCAGAATATTCCCAGGTCTTTTCTTTTTATTTCCAGACAAAAAAGAGACATCTTCTGACGGTGCCAGCAGTTCAACTATGGCATAGTGAAGCTTGGCATTGACAGCAACCGCTAATCACAGAACAGTGAGGGAAAAAGTTTAGAATGCATACAACGTAAAGATAGACTGCTCAAATGTAGTAGAATCATGCAATTGTCCCATGAGAGTAGCCAAGGTGCACGCAAGCCGGCCCGGACACTTGCTCCCACTGTAATAATAATAATATAACTGGGAAACATACAGGAACAAATCTACTACCACATTGCCCCCACGGTAACACAAACAAGAACTCACCAGCATTGGCTGGAATAGTCCAGGGAGTTGTAGTCCATATGGCCAAGCACAAGTCTGGAAGAAATTCTTGTAGCATGCCGCCTGAAGATGGACCTTCCTTGACCAATCTAAAAATAGCATATATGCTTCTTGAAGTATGCCCCTCAGGGTACTGAATGCAGTTATCAAACAGGTAGTGCAGGGAAAAGAAAAAAAAAAAAAGATAATGTCAAATTTGAGCAAATGATAGGAAGCCGAATGAGATACAGATTAGAGACAAAGTTTATCAAGAACCCTAAAGCTTCGTCCCACAACTGTAATAAGATTATCTAAATTGTTCATGCTCTCATGCTTCAACAGTTGATTTACCTCCAATTCAGCCTCGGCAAGAGCAGTTCGTGATGAGGGACTCCAGTGAACTGGCTTTCTCCCTCTAAAAATATATCCTTGAATGGCCATTTGACCAAACACCTCAATCTAACATAAAAACAATACAAACACAAAACTATTGAATTCAATTCTGCAACAAAGTGCTTAAAGGAAGCACATAGAAAGTAGAACATTAGAATGCATGCAATAGTTACCTGGGCAGCTTCATATTCAGGACTGAGAGTTAGGTACGGATTGTTCCAATCTGCCCATACTCCATAGCGCTGCAAAAATTGAACAGCATACTTCGAGAAATTTAAAAGAAGAGAGTCATGAAATTTTCTATGAAGAGTAACTCCCACGACACACTAAACCCAGTACTCAGACAGCATTAAAGATGAACATGCTTGCATAGACATAATGTTGACATGAACCAAAATTATCACATAAGATTGATCACTTTAACATGACGAAAGAAATATTAAGCATTGAAATAAATAAAGTTGAGGTGATTAGGAAATTGCCTTAAATGATGCCATCTGAGCTTTCACCGTAGCTTTAGCAAACTTGGCAGCCTTATCTCGCAACTTAATTGGGGTAAGATCTTTCCTGGCTTCTTTATCCAATGACTGCAGAACTGAATAGCTCAAGATTACAGTTAAGTTTCCTTACCTTTGTCCCTAGAGACCTAAGACGTTACCCCTCAGTAAAAGCTTATCACGGAGGTTAACTACTGAAAAAGATACTTGCCTTTTAACTCAATTGGTAGCCCATGGCAGTCCCAGCCAGGCACAAAACGAACTTTATAGTTTTGAAGAAGCTGTTAGGAGAAGAAAATAAAAGGAAAAAGAAATACTAGTTAGAAACTTTTAAAATGTAAAGCAAGGAGTTTGTTCTTCCAAAAACTAAGTAGCTATTACATGGCGGAGGGATCACAAGTTAAAATTAGACACCGTTTGTATATAAACTCCAAGGCAACAGTAACCGAAACTGAATCTCAACAGAACTTCAGTATGCGGTGTTGAAAATAATTACTAGGGATACAGACATACATTATAACATTTTCCAGCTTTTTTTTTTTTTTTTTCTGGCATGTTGTCTGATTTAATGAAGTGTGGCTAAGAATAAGAAACTAACCTTGTAACGGTTGATTATATCCTTCAAAATCTTATTCAAAGCATGGCCCATGTGAAGATCACCATTGGCATATGGAGGACCATCGTGAAGAATGAAGTTTTCCTGAGACCAGATGTCGGCAAATAAGTTATTTTGAATGGTGGACAAAAGAAGGACGATATCCCAAGAAGACCGAAGAACGTACTCCAGTATTTCTTTCAACAACTCGATTGAACACTTGATGGTCATCCCATATTTTCTGAATTTCTGGCTCCCTAACCGTAGAATTTGCTCTCATGCCAAATGTAGTCTTTGGCAGATCAACAGTATGCTTGTATTTTCCATCTCCTTCATTTGTCTCTAAACAAACTCAAGCAATCCAAGAAATCAGAAACTTCATTGAAAAAATGCAAAAACTCATTCAAGAAGTCATGTAATTCATAAAAATCAAAAGCATAGATTTGAAGGGAAATGTAATACATAATTGCCGAGACTATGCACCTTTAGATGCTTTCTTTGCTGCCATAACGGGCCCTCTAGCCCTTCTCTTTGAGGAAGGTAGGAATTCATCATTTAAATAAGTAGAGTAACGTGTGACGCTCAAGAACGTAAATACTTTTGCCGAAGAGCTTCCTCTAAAACGAAATGAAGGAATATAACTTCTCCCAAGTGATGCAGAAATTCTTTGTGATAATACCTGGAAATATGAAACACGAGTAAATTGACATCAAGCACCAGCAATTCACATTCAAGAATAACGGTCACAGATGATTTGATCGTTAAGGCTAAACACCATTTGCCATAACTGAACAGCTAGAAGTACCTCCTAAAAGAAATTTTGATTTTTTTTTCTTTCCGACCAAAAAGAAAAACATCATTATCACATGGTATTTTTGCTCTATGTAACGGCCCAAGCTCACCGCTCCCTTTCGGGCTTCCCCTCAACGTTTTTACACCCTTATAAAGAATGTTTCGTTCTCCTCCCCAACCGATGTGGGGTCTCACAATCCACCCCCTTCGGGGCCCAGCGTCATCGCTGACACTCGTTCCTTTCCCTAATCGATGTGGGACCCCCCTTTGGGGCTAGCATCCTTGCTGGCACATCGCCTGGTGTACACCCCCTTTCGAGACCCAACGTCATTGTTGGCACTCATTCCTTTCCCCAATCGAAGTGGGACCCCTCTTTGGGGCCCAACGTCCTTGCTAGCACACCGCCTCGTGTACACCTCTTCAAGGTTCAACCTCCTCGTTGGCACACCGCCCGATGTCTGGCTCTGATACCATTTGTAACAGCCCAAGCCCACCGCTAGCAAATATTATCCTCTTTGGGCTTTCCCTTTCAGACTTCCCCTCAAGGTTTTTAAAACATGTCTACTAGGGAGAGGTTTCTGCACCCTTGTAAAGAATGTTTCGTTCTCCTCCCCAACCAATGTGGGATCTCACACTTTAGCTCTTAGGTTAAGCAATTTATAAAAATAATAAGAAAAAGAATACACCCCCAATGTTCTTTCACGAGATTGAATTTACCAAGACACAAGCACAAGTCTGCAGAATCAAATGTCAATAGCGTATCAAAATTGAATCGTTATGAACATTGAAACGTGGTATTAGAAGATAACCCAATAGAAGGAGCAATAATTCAAACACAGAAAAACGCACTCCAAACAATTTCCAATACAAACGCACTGAACAAACATAAGCAATTTAACCACTACACTCTCTAAACTCAACAAGAAGGATATGAAGTAATCAAATTAACTCCATAAAACCTTCTTTTATCAGAAAAAAAACGACAGAATAACACAAAGAAATGTAAACAAAGAAGGAATCGTTCTTGAATCATCGAAGTAGACTGCTTCAAAATTCAACAAGACTGGCGTAAACAGAGAGATAAAGAGGAGAAGAGAGAAATTGTACTGAATAAGAAGACGTTTGAATGAGAGATTTGGTGGCTCCTTTGCACTTCAATGCGGAAGAGCCGGCGGCAAAGGACGCATACAGCGGCATATTGACTCCATTCATTTGCAGAGCCTCTTCATCCTCGGGGCGATAGGAAGTATGAGAGAGGAAACTAATGCGGGATTTTTGTAAAAATAACGCATTTTATTCCTTTGGAAATTTAATCTTTAAATATTTTGAAAAATAACGCATCATAATATTAAATAAATGTCATTTTATATATTTTTTAATAATTTAATCTATAAATTTTATTTTGCAGTATATTTATAATTTTTTTTATTTTTTTATTTTAAAAGCTTCCATTGTCGTTTATAATTTCAGTGTAATTAATTTAAATTTTATTAATAAAAAGATGGTTTTTTTTAGTTGAATAATTTTTCTAAAAAGAAAAAAAAAATACTTTTATGAACAATTTTTGTTTTATGATTTTATTTTAGTCCCAAATTTATTATTAACATCAACGGTAGTGAATCACTATCTTTCTTTCATCGGTAGGGCGATCAGTCTTTTCTCTATGTGTAATCAGAGTGTAGCACCTCTCTTTATGAGCCTCCACAGATGTAATAAAAAGTCGAATTCTGTGTCACAAATAGAAATAAGAAAATTAGGGGTAGGGTCAACGATCACTCATGTCACGGGTAGCACGACGAGCTCAACTTCCACTAAAAAGTCAGAACCTCTCCGACTCCACTTTAGTCATTAATCAACCGATGAGCCAGACTTGTGAAGCAAGCCAACGATGACCCAACTCACTCAAAGCATGGATGAGAAGCATAAAATCCCGACATGGAGTTGAGAACCATGATTGACCCAACTCATGACTTAGTGCAAACTTGAGTATAGTTTAATTGATTCAAACAAATATCATCGACCAACAAATTTGAAGCTCAAATCTCACTTTCAAACGTTCTTGAATGACCTAAAAAGTTTTGTTTGTTTATATTTTGCAGGTCTGTTGTTCCGAACTATTGATCTCAGAGTCATGCCCCTAACTTACCCAAGTCGGTAGAATCCTCGAGTGTTGATAAAAAAAGTCGTGGGCATCAAAATAATCATAATAGAGATCTATAGTAAGAGTCTATCGAATTGGTAAATGAGTTCATCCAGATAAGTGGTTAGATATTCAAGGGGAGGCTCGATGATAGACTATAAAAAGTGAGAGACGCCTTCTCTATTGGCACGAGGCTTCTTGAAAGACCAAAGTCAAAGTCCGTGGACAATATCATAGTATCGTGAATGTCGGTTGTCCACAAAACTATTCGGAAAAAATAATAACAAAACTTTATTTATATTTTACTCAGGTAAATGTGCATATAACAGAGCTTGTTCATTGTCTTCGGCCTTTCTTCCACACCAACAAAGGCGAAGGGAAAGAAGAGAACAAGAACTAATTTGTAAGGAAGCACAGTAAGAGTAGTGTAAGAAGAACCTTACTCCTAAAGCTCTCTCTTTCACAATATTTGCTTGCTACTGAGAGGAGGTAGCAACTTTGAGCAGGGACTGAGCATGAATGGGCGACAGATTAGCTTGGCACAAGCTTTGCCAAGCTTCCTGTTTCTGTTCTTCATTCTCTGTCAATGCTCTGAACATTCCCATCACAATACACCGAGCTGCTTCCCTTGCCTCAGGTAGCCTATCGTTTAACAAATCTGCGGCCATCTGAAGCAATGGAACAATCCCATGTTGCTTCATTTCTTCCAGACCCTGCAGAAGAAAAAATGGCAGCACCCTAGTTAGAATGCATCAGTTCAAACCATCGTTAGCAGATATCGTCTTCTTTGGGTTTTCTCTTTTCGACTTCCCTTCAAAGTTTTTAAAACGCGTCTACTAGAGAGAAATCTCCACGCCCTTGTAAAAAATGTTTCATTCTCCTCTATAACTGATGTGAGATCTCACAATACACCCCTCTTTGGGACTCAGCGTCTTCGCTAGCACACCGCCCAATGTCTGGCTCTAATATCACTTGTAACAGTCCAACTCACTGCTAGCAGATATTGTCCTCTTTAGGTCTTTTTTTTCGGGCTTCCTTTCAAGATTTTTAAAATGCATCTGCTAGGGAGAGATCTTCACACTCTTATAAAGAATGTTTCGTTCTCCTCTTCAACCGATGTGAGATCTCACAATCCACCCCTCTTTGGGGCCCAACGCCTTCGTTGGCACACCGCCTGGTGTCTGGCTCTGATACAATTTGTAACCGCCTAAGTCCATCGGCTAGCAAATATTGTCTCTTTAGGCTTTCCTTTTTGGACTTCTATTCTAGCTTTTTAAAACGCGTCTGCGAGAGAGAGGTTTCCACACCCTTATAAAGAATATTTCGTTTTCCTCTTCAACCGATGTGAGATTTTACAATCCACCCCTCTTTCAGGTCCAGCGTCTTTGCTGACACACCGGCCGGTATCTGGCACTGATACCATTTATAACAATCCAAGTCCACCGCTAGAAGATATTGTCCTATTTAGGTTTTTTTCTTTCGAGCTTTCCCTCAAAATTGGTAAAACACTGTTGCTAAGGAGAAGTTTCCACACCCTTATAAAGAATGTTTCGTTCTCTTCTCCAATCGACGTGGATCTAACCAAAGTAAAGAAGTGATTTGTCATCAGTTTTTACCATCTTAGAGACACAATCAGAGATTGGAATGGCGGCTTTGGCTCTGACTCTGTGGTTGGAATGGGAAACATATGGCCGAAGTTTCTGCAGCAGAGGCAGAGGAGTCGTGGATTGCACTAGAGCTTTCAGTGCCTTGTCTGCTTCTTCACACACAAACTTTTTGTCTTGAGAAGCTTTGAGAAGTAATTGAAGCAGCTGAGCAACCAAAATCACATATAATCAGTCTCTCAATCAGAACTTGTTCATCCAACATTTCCCTTTAATCTTCCACAAAATTGATAGTTTAGGGTTTAGGGTTTAATCTTCCAGTGCAAAATTGATTGTTTAGGAACAGATATCAATGAACTTCCTATTCAGATATTGATCACAAAAGAAAATCGTTCGAGGAAATTCAATTGCAAGCTCTCACCAATTGATCAAATGCATTGCTGGTGGATGCGTCGAGTAAACGATCGCCAAACGAGTTAAAAATGTCGGATGAAGCCATAATTGAGGTCTTGATTAAAGCACTTCTAGGGTTTTTCATCGATTTAATCAGTACCGCTATAATTTTCTCTCTGTAATGCAATCGGAAGAAAATTAATCGCCAGAATTTCACCATCCCAATCCACAAACAGAGAATATTCCACTTACAACGAGGGCAGCAAGAGATCCGAGTGAAATAGCGCGAGACGCCTAGCATTATTGAGCGATTCGCAGACCTTCACCCAATCTTTCGAATCCAATCCTTCAATGAAATCCTAACACAACAACGAAACAAAAACGAAGATCAGATCCGAAAACAAGCAAGAAATGCAAAAACGGAAAATGACGAGTACATTAGAATTAGGGTTCGTCAAGGGCTTCAGATTCTCAGAAGAAACATAATCAATGGCGGCGTCTGCAGGAGGAGGAACCGGATTCTGATTCTCATCGTTTCGCTTCTGGATTGGATCCGCCGCCACATTGGTTTGTTTCTTCGGCATTTTTGGCGTAACCAGCGGAACATTATCAATGGATCTGAGAGCCATGGCCATAGCGAGAATGAGAAGAATTGCAGAGATGAGAAATGAAGAGTATCTGTGCTTGAAATTGAAGAAAGTGGAAATTTAAGGCTGTTGGTTGTCTTGTTGCCTTATTAGGTTTCAGAGATTTGAAATTTGAATGTCGCCATTGAAAGAGACGTTGATGTTCTTTCTATAACGGCTCGTTCGCTGAATTTGGGTAATTAGGCGCCATGAAACCAGCGCCTTGGCTTGAATGTGAAACGCCGTCGTTTTTGCCACACTTTTTTAGGAAAAAAAAAATAATAAGAAACACAATGGAAAGCGAATAATAAAAAAAATTACTTTTCGAGTTTTGGAGGGAAAGAAATCGGTTATTACTTTTATTTTTATTTTATTGAAAAACAATATTTAAAAAATGTAGCCAAAAAATATTTTTACTATTTTTTTTTTCCATTTGTAAAATAAATTAAAAAAATTATAGAAAACAGTTTATAAAATTTCAAATTTTTCATTGTACAAATTTAAATTTTAAAAACACTTTAATGTAAAAATAGTATTTATAAAAATGTTAATTTAACTTGAAAAAAAAAAACCAAAAAACAACAATAGCCTCTTTGTATTGTTGATAGATTTAACCATTGCTTAGATCGTTCATTGTCCAAATAACTTTAGCTTCCTTGCAAAATCCCTCTAAAATCAAGAATCCAAAAATCATACTCGGTTCTTCCTCGATTTTGTTATGAAAATGAGTGATTTGTAAACCCATAATAGTTCTCTCAAGGTCACCGAGCAATTCTTGTGAAGAAACTCTTAACAAGATTCGAACTCCAAATGGCAATTTGGAGCAAATTTCATTAGAGTTTCTTCACAAGAATTGCTCGGTGACCTTGAGAGAACCATTTTGGGTTATCAAATCGAAGAACGGACGAATATTAACGAGCAGTTGATACGATAAAAGTAGAGATTCTTGGGCACATAAATAGAGTAAACTTTCGCATTCAGCAGGACAAAAGCTCTCAGTAAACAAAGGTCAAAACAAAGAAACCCAAACTAAACCAAAACAAAAAAGAAAACAGCCCAAACCATTCAAATTCAAATGTCATGAGAACAGGCAAAAATAGTAGAAACTAACAATGCTATATGAAGCATTCTGCTATGAACTTTTGTTCTTTTCAGCACTTGACTTCCTTCAAACCTGGGGCGAGGTATAAAAATGTTGGGTCAGTGGCTCCTTCCTTGTAGTATGCAAATACCATAGAGCTATCGTCATGCATACTCTCCCCGACGAAGCTGCAAAACAACATATCGTATGTTAGGTATCGTTCTAGTGATACAAAAACTCGAACCAAATCGACCACAACAGGTTAGAAGATTTGGTTGGCATAAACCAAGAACACATAGACAACTACTGAAATACTTACAATTGCAAGTCCTTGAGCTTTGCAAGGAGATATTTGGTTGCTCCCTCAATGTTCTTCTTGAATGCCTCTTGTTTCTCCCCTTCCAGTTTAGGTGTCACCAATTTGATGTATTTCTTGATGTATGCAATGAACAACTTCTTGTCCAAGGGAGGTTGCTCCTGGAAACCCAAATTGAAATAAATTAATAAATTCTGCTTGAATGTTTGCATAATCCTTGAACCTTCTTAAGGAGGAGGCATGCCTACCTGAAGTCTGAAGGTATCGACAATGTCGACAACCTTCACTGCCTGATCATCAACACCTTCATCCTCGCCAGCACCTTCAGCAGAAGGGTTGGCACCAATGTCCACATCAACTGCTCCTTGAACGACCCACTGCAATAAATTGTGCAAGAAACTAAAAACTTGGTACCATTAACACAAAAAAAATTGTTCTTACGCACATGAAACGTGAAAAAAAATTACATTAAACGAAAATAACTAACCTTTCCATCGACTTCCCAGATCATTCCATTCTCGATTTCTTTGTATGGAAACGAATCCGAGAGAAGCTCATCACCTGATATAAAATTTAAACAAATCCTTCACACAAATTAAAAGAACAGAGTCCAAAAATTTTACACCAATAACATCCAATACTCTAGAACACAATCGATTATGAGAAATATACGTCTTCAATCCACAGAGAGCTCTCTCCAACAGCTAATCAAAAGGAATTTAAACAAATCCTTCACACAAGTGAAAAGAAGAAAGTCCAAAAATTTTACGCCAATAACATCAAATACTCTAGAACACAATCGATTATGAGAAATATACTTCTTCAATCCGAAGAGAGCTCTCTCCCCAACAGCTAATCAAAAGGCTATTACGCATATTTGTAAAATCTTGTATGGCATGAATCAAATGGTATCAGTTAAACCAAAATCAACAACTCTAAATTATGTATCAGATCGATATACAAAGAATCCATATAAACCACACAACAACAGAAAACCCTAACAGCTCAAAACCGATATCCTATACAAAAATACAGATACTAAACAAAAACATAAATAATCGAAAACTCATAATATCAATACCGGAGAGAAGATCGGTGTAAACCAACATGGTTGCAGAGTAGATTCCCGGATCCCTCTTGAAAATTTATGAGGCGAGGGAGTACGGCAATCCAAAGATGAAGAGGGTTTAATCAATTTATAGGGCAGGCCCCAAGAAATATAATTTTATTTTAATTTCTATTTTATTCTTTTTATCTTTTAAATATATATATTTTTTCGATAACATTTTTTAAATTTTATTAGTTAAATAAGATTTGATTTTTTTGGGTGAAAATTTGCTTACACTAACCTTTAATTAATCATTTTTATTTTTTTAATATTATAAAATTTAATTATTTATGATATATCTTTAACAAAATTAGAAAACAAAAAACTTATTTTATTATTTTATTGAAAATAAATTAAATAATTTTTATCATAATAAAATTAAGATAAAAAATCATTATAATGTCATTTTTAGAGTTTAGATTCTATTTGATAACATTTTTTAATAAATAAAAACGAAATAAAATTTATTGATTTAACATATTTGATAATTATTTTTTTTATTTTCTAATATTTTTTTCGATAACATTTTTAAAATTTTATTGGTTAAATAATATTTGATTTTTTTTTTTTTCAGAATCTTTCAGTGAAAATTTGCTTATATTAACTCTTAATTAATCCTTTAATTTTTTTTTAATATTATAAAATTAATTATTTATGATATATCTTTAACAAAATTAAAAGAAAAAAAAAATATTTTATTATTTTATTGAGAATAAATTAAATAATTTTTATGATAATAAAATTAAGATAAAAAATCATTAAAATGTCATTTTTAGAATTTAAATTCTATTTTATAACATTTTTTAATAAATAAAAACGAAATAAAATTTATTGATTTAACATATTTCATAATTATTTTTTTTTTTCATTCTCTCATATTTTTTTCGATAACATTTTTTAAAATTTTATTGGTTAAATAATATTTGATTTTTTTTTTCAAAATCTTTCCAAAATTTGCCTACATTAACTCTTAATTAATACTTTAATTTTTTTTTTAATTTTATAAAATTTAATTATTTATGATATATCTTTAATAAAATTAAAAAAAAAACTTATTTTATTATTTTATTGAGAATAAATTAAATAATTTTTATGATAATAAAATTAAGATAAAAAATCATTAAAATTCATTTAGATTTTATTTGACAACATTTTTTAATAAATAAAAACGAAATAAAATTTATTGATTTAACATATTTGATAATTATTTTTTTTTATTCTCTAATATTTTTTTATAACATTTTTTTTTAAAAGAAAATTTAATTCTTTTTACATAATTTTAAAATATTAAAATAATGTCTGTCATTGAGCCTACAAAACAAATAAATATTGTATAAGCAGCCCCACACAATTTCAATTTTTTACAGACGCCGGCGCCGGCAGCAGAAGGGGAAGGAGAAAGAGGATTCGCCACCGCCGAGCGCCGACAGTAAAAAAAAAATAAAAAATAAGGAACAAAAATGGCCTGAAACTCAGAAGTTAAAAGCAAGAAATCGACATTTTACATTCCATTCCGCGTGCCCTGTTTCTCAGGCGGCATACATCTACACAGTACAAGAAAAAATTCCGGCAAAGAAAAAAAAAAAAGTTCAAGGAGTAGCCGAAGAGACAGATCTAACAACCGATTTCAGTCGCCGGAATCATCGTCGCCGCCGAAGATGGAAATCCGGTTATAGAGGAGAAACAGAATGAGGAGGAGGAAGAGAGCAACGCCGACTGGGGAGCCAGTGACGCGGTGGATGGAGTCGGGCTCGCTGGTGGAGAAGATGGCGGAGACGACGGAGCCGCGATCGGAGGAGAGGAACTGAATGGTGAGAAGGAGGAGGATGGGGAGGAGGAGGAGGCCGAAGGGGCTGAGGAGATCGGAAATGGCCTCGGTGAGGGCCTCGCCGTGGTCGCCGAGGAAGAAAGGGACGAGAATGACGGTGGCGACGACCACCGCCAGTATGACGCCGTGTGGAGCTACGTCTTGCCGTTCTTCCATCATTTCCTTCGCTTCTTTTTCGTCTCTTGGTTTGAATTTAAATACTAATAAATATTATTTTATATTAATATAAAGTAATTTTTATTTATTTATATTTAAAGAGTATTTTTATTTAAAATAAATTTTATAAAAAGAATAAATCTTTTTAAAGAGAAACATGTAGGGTTTTGTAGGACAATAATTATATATGAAAAAATATAATTAAAATAAATAAAAACAAATACATAGTTATTATAAATGGAGTGTGGGGTTGAAATTTCTCCACTTTTGAAACTAATTTTTCATAAAAATAAGAGAAGGACAATAATGTAATTTAATTCAACACGCAATCCTGTAAAATATTAAAATTTCTCCAAGTTGATGAAAGGTACGAGCTTTTAAACTAAACTTCCAACTTCGCTACTTTCCCATTTTGCCCCTCTATTTTTCTTCAAATTACTCCTAATTGCTTTATTTATTTATTTTTATGAATTTGAGCTGATTGGCTCATTCAACAATACTATGGGTCCTCAAAGCTCATAAATGGCCAGACATGATGGTAATTTGTGTCCTACTCGACAATTAAGATTGCACCTAATATGTCAAATGTGAATCACGGTGTGATTTGATTGATTGATGTTAGGACTTTTTATGTAACGGCCCAAATCCACCATCATAAAGAATAGTTCGTTCCTCTCTCCAACTGATGTGGGGTCTCACTCCTTCAAGACCAACATTCTTATTGGCACTCGTTCTCCTCTCCAATCGATGTGAGATCTTACAATTCATCTCCTTTAAGACCCAACATCCTCGCTGACACTCGTTCTCCTCTCCAATTGATGTGGGATCTCACAATCTACCCCCTTCGAAACCTAACATCTCCATCGACACTCGTTCCTCTCTCAAAGGAAGGTTTGATCAAACCATAAGAACAAAAGTCTACTTTTTTTTCTCAACCATCGTCACCAAATTTGTAACTTCGACCCTTATTAATCTGTCTCCATATAGCATAAGTAGAGAGAATAACACGAACATGAAATTTAAACCGTAATTTATATATCAGAACAAAATTTTGAAAATCCAAAAAAGATCGATCATGTGATAATACACAGCTTCAGAGCATCCAAGAAGAACCATATCAGGTTTTCCATTCCAAAACTGACTTATTTTGTTGAATTTGACTTCATATACAATTTCATAGATAGGCATTCAAACCAGTAAAGAAAAATCTATATAAACACAAACTAGATGGTTTAAAGCTGAAGTTCTTGCTGCAGTAACATTCTCAGAGTTCCTTCCTTCCTTCTTTAAACATGTAAAAGATATGCTGTGTTGGTATGAATCAAACAAAATATACCACTCCTTGTTGCTACAGTATGGAAGTTCGTAAACTTTCTTATATCTTCTGCTAGATGGGGATCCAGCCCTGCCCATTTCAGCCATTACAGAGAGTAAGGATTTCTACCAGCAGAGAAGAATCAATCTTGGATAGAGATCAGAGATTATGAACAATGGAGAAAACGAGGCAAGCGAGGAAGAAACGAGGTAGGAATAGAAATCACTTCTGACAAAAAAGAGATTCGAGTGTGAATGGAAAGGGAAAAAGGATGAAGCCCAAGAGATATGTAAAAAACAGGTTCACACGCCTGTTCCTAATCCTAAATGGAATGTAAGGACGTAGGAATCCATGTGTAAACATAGTATCTATTTAAATACGCTCGGATGACCCTTTCTCATAGTTAGAATGTATATAACCTAGCCCTGTTCCGGTCTGACCCGGTATGGAATGAACTTATAATCATGGAATTGAAAATCAATGTCGTAGAAGAGATATGAGTGAGTGAAATGAAAAGGAGAATGACACCGTGAGATCTTAAATCGGTTGGGGAGGAGAATGAAGCATTCTTTATAAGGGTGTGGAAACCTCTCCTAGCAGACGCGTTTAAAAACTGAGGGGAAACCCGGAAGGGAAGGTCCAAAGAGGACAATATCGGCTAGCGGTGGGCTTTTGGACTGTTACAGACACACTATTGACTTGTTTATGAAACTTCTTACTCTCGGGTTGGAAATAAAGAGAATTCAAAAGTTTGAATTAGTTATTTTAGATAATAATATTCAAAGGGGCATCAATTACCTTAATTTTGCCCGTCTCTGTGCCACAAAGAACCATGTCATTGGCTGTAAGCAGACATGTTATCCTGCTACTAGCTGAAACTCTCCCCACTTTGTGCTGTGCCTTTCTCAACCATATCTACTTTTTCAATAATGAACTCATGAAAACCATGATCATAACATAGAGATTACACATTATTGTTTGAGAAAATACGCATCGATGATTACCTGAATGCTGCTCACTGAAGATTTACAGATTATGTACACGAAATCTTCAACGACACTCATCGCTTGCACGACATCTCCTTTACCAGTTACAATATTCATTTTGGGCTTTTCATGTCTTCTCCAGTTCTGCATTTATTCCAACAATTAATGGATGTTTATGGTATAATGGTTGAGAATTGTTAGGGGAGGAGTCCCACGTAAGCTAATTAAGGGGGTAATCATGAGTTTATAAGTAAGAAAAACATCTCCATTGGTATGAGGTTTTTAGGGGAAACCAAAAGCAAAGCATGAGAGCTTACGGTCAAAGTGGACAATATCATACCATTATGGAGGTTCGTGATTTCTAGTAATAATTGTTCTAGCTACGGTAATTGTTCTACCTGAAATAACGAGCCTTGAACTATTGAACTAGCACAAAAAAGCCAGTCCTTGTACACAGCAAGTGAGTTGATAGCCTTGTGGTGCATCATCATCCAACTTTTAGAAGGTGGCTTGATCTCTTGTTCCCATTTGTTGGTCACAGAAAACTCCTAATTACAACAGTTTTTCTTTAGTGGATGTTTATTATTTATGGAGTTTTTCTGGGACAAAAGGGGGGAACAAACTAACCTGTATGCTCGAATCGGTGCAACCTGCATAAACTCTTCCTTGAACCACCTTCATGCACTTCAAATTCTTACTCTTGAAAAGAACTTTTGTTGTTCTTGATGCATCAATCACCTAGAACATAATAGTATGTATGGTTCAAATGAAAAATTCCAAAATCAGCATGAGGTTCTCCAGTATTTAGCTTGCTGAAATCTAAGTGATAATATTATCATCACCTTCAAGCCATGGCCATGTGTAATTGCAAAGATTATTTGTCCATATGCCCCTAAATGTTGGATTTGTTCCTTGGACTCTATGACTTCGATGCACTCCAATCTTCCCTGGATCATTTTCCAGACCTGTATAAACAACAAACAGCTTATTCAACCTTCTACTGCCCATCCACATTAAGCTAAATGTTATCACGGCAGCATTAGCGACATACTCGAATAGTTTTATCGGAAGATCCGCTTAGAAGACTCTCCCCAGATTCAAAATGCGAAAAACATGTTACTGCTTTTCTATGTTTCTTTATGTCCCATAGAAGTGATGCCGATTGTCCCTTGATGTTCCACACCTATAGTTATGCACACAGGTCATGTTTTAAATTTTGTGGTAGAAAAATATTTCTTTCCCCATTGCTTTTACTGAAATGACAACTATTTGTTAACATCTCAAACGTGTTTATTGAAACCCACTCTTATTTTCTTCACCTTAATTGAACCATCTGAGTATCCACCGAAAAGAAGACCTTTGTAAAAGATGAGGGCACATACAGCTCCACTGCTGTTGAAACCCAGCTCTAGAACTTGCGTGTGCACGCACGAAATTCGCTGCTCTTACAATTTGAAGGATGTTAGAAAGGCAAACAATGAAATCTGTCAATGATTGTAATTACAAAAAGCATATTTAAATAGCTTTCAGTAATTCATTGAATAGTTTTTCAACGATGAAGCTCTTTCACTTACTGAATTATTGGGCATAAGATAATCTGCTACTTGATGCAACTCTTCTGCCATCCAAGTTATATGTGAAAGACGTCTTAGTGACTCACGAACTCCTTCAGAGAAATTAGTAAGGTTTTGCATCCCTATACATGAATATTCATCGAGAATCAGTGGTAGTAGCTCGAGGACATTTCAAATCATTGCATGACTTTCCATTGAGCATGTTATTTAGAAATTCTGTAACAGGGAGGGACTGTACCCTCTATCACTGTGGCAATCGAACATGCATCTTAGAAAATGTATTACCTTTTCCAGACGTATAGTTGAAGATGCAGAGACATGCCAGAAGCCTTTCTTCGAGTTCTACTCCGGGATGCAAGAACAGCTCAATTCTACTGAGTAAGATCTCACAAGCAGAACATCTAATGCTACTTGGACTCTTTGCAATCTCACATCCAAGCCATGCAATTGTTGTCAAAGAGTCCCTAGAAACCTTCTTTATGTTGCTCTTTAAACCCTTTTCTAAAGCATGAAAGACGGGTTCCCCGATACAGATGATGTTTCTGGCCATCACACTGCACCATGAGTCCATGCCAGCATCCTACAAGTTCATTTAATGTTGTAAGGTCGAACAGTATAATGCAACCAGTTACACTATTCTTGACGCTCACCTGCAAGCTTTGGTCTAGCCAATTGAACGATTTGATCATGTTCTGATGATCAGAACTCAAACCAACTTTTTTAAGCAACCATGCAACTGTGTATGGTTCTCCTGTCCAAGCAAACGTTCCACCAAGAGTTGACAAAATCGATGCAGACAACAGCTGCATAGCAGAGGTTTCTTCGCATGCCACTGACCTGAGAAGGACATGTACAGCCTCTTCTTTTAAGAAGCTCGTTGTGGAACCGTTGTCCTGTAGATATACATTCTAGGGTTGTCAACTGAAACTAAATTGGACAAACCACACAATCAAATTGAACACTTACCAGAACAAGTAATTGAATCAATAAATTTGCAGCCAGAAGTTGATATTCAGTTTGCAAATGATTGACACAAAGCATTAGTATGTGAATGATGTCATTTCCCCCTTCATTCTTAATCCTTTGCAACAAGCTAATGGCAGAAGACCTAAACAAGAGAGTCAGAATTGTATTAAAAAA